TCAAACGTACGCATTAATTGCTATCGACTGCTTTTCACCGCGTCTTTCTAGCCCTCTTAGTTTTTGAGTTAGAGGTGGGTGGTAACATATGCCCCCCCTCACTAGGGCGAAGTTGGCGGAGACCGCCACTGGGGCGCGGGTTAAGTACCTCGGTCATGTGATCAGAGAAGACTTGCGTGATACTGACGATATGTGTAGGGCCAAACGCACTCTGTACAGCAATGTGAACATGTTGTTAGCAACTGTTGGCTTCGCAAAGAGATGTTCTAACGAATCTCTTTAAAACACATTGTGCCAGCCTGTATGGATGCGAGCTTTGGGTAGCGTATCGTGTTCAGAAAGCAGCTCGCGAGCTGTGCGTTGCGTACCACAACTGCTTGAAAAGGCTTCTCAAGGTTCCGAAGTGGGCACGTAATCACGAACTCTGCCATGACCTTGGAATGTTGACTTGTCCAATGCAAATAGCATATAGACAGATGTTATTTTGGCGCCGCCTTTCGCTCTCGCCCAACACTCTGGTTGCCGCCGTGTTGGCAAGTCCAGCTGGCCAAACGGGGCTGACGGCCCAAACGCACTTGCGACTGCGTCAGCAGTATGAACTGAATGATTTGGATTTGTCCGCCATCTCCCCTTCTGAGCTAAATAATGTGTTCGTTGCGCGCATCGAAAATGTTGTACGGCAGAGGGGGAATGATGGTGCCGCAGATCGGTTTGTGTATCAGTTGTTTTAGGGATCTTGCTGTTTTGCATTAGTTATTTTTTGTGTTTATTGATGAATGATGTGTAATGTATGTGTGCTGTTTGTGTATTATATGTACCGACTTCGGTATGCAATAAACATTATTATTATTATTATTATAAGACAGATGAAAATATACCTCTGATGCAAATGACATAATCTTGCACTGTCGAAAACAACAGCGCGAAAACCGCTCCCCATTCCAACAACCGCTTAAATTCAAACTGCCTCACAACCGGCCCGATCATCACACTGAATAGGCCACCGATGTTCGCAAGTCAATGGCAGTCTGTCATTACTCTGCTCGAATTGAAGGCCAGTGCAACGGTCGAAACGAAATGATAGACCCACCACAGTTCAGCGAATGCGACACGCTTTTGAGGCCTGGTTGAGCCTCTGAAAAGATTGCAGTCTAATGAAGCTGCATTAGTCTCTAATCAAAGAGGACTGAAGAGATGCCCAAGGTCATTTGAGTTTTGTATGAGCTCACAAGCGACTCCAACAAGCATGAGAACTGACGTGGTTGATAACGAAAAAAGCTCAGAAAAATATAGTTCAAATAATCTTATGTTCATAATTATCAATATTGTATATGTTGGTGCTCTTTTCATCGTTTGGGAAGCGCATTTGTAAGTTAATAAATGTATACATTCATGCATTCCTTTTCATCGGCTCTTTTTGAACAGCAGAATGCCACGACATCCAATTTGCAGGCGTATAACAGACATCCTGAAGGACGCTGATGGGGTACATTGAGTGTTTTGTTTACTTTCTGTGAAGCTTATTTGACTGCATTTTCGGTAAAAACTACCCAATTCATGATCTGATGTATAGGACGCACACACCAATGGATGAACACGTCAGTATATACAGTCACATTACACAAACATACAAACACATAGCTAGATTAAGCGAGTACGTTCTTTCTAGCTTTGGGAATCACTTAAACTTCAGAAAATGTTATGCTACAGTTCAAGTGAGCTATGCTTGCATTCTAGCTGTTGTAGCTAGTTTGACACCACAATACGGCAGCGTCATTGGCATATTTCGGGCAGCGCGCGTGATATTCCAATCATGTTCCAATTCAACCCCAAACAGCAGCATTTTTCAGTTTGATATGACCTGCAGAAGGCTGAAAGGTCAATGGTTAACCGGACAAGATGAAGTTGGGTACCGTTGAAATCGTCTTTTCCAATGAATCTGATGTTTTTCCACAAAACTCTATTACAACCAGGAAAGAAATGACGCAGGAGCTGGGTAGACCCATCTGCGTTCTAGGATGGGAACTTTGCATGTGCGGGCGAGGGTTAATGTTAATCTATTTTCAACAACGAGCACCCGAAATCCAAAGATTCCTGTACCCTAGGGTGCGATAATTGTGCTCATAATATACATACTCCCGAAAACAAGGTCGAGTAGATAAATCGTCAAAATAGCTACAGGCAGCGATGAACAGTTAGTTTCGCCTGGCTTCCGTGCAGATCAATTTTTGCACGGTTATTGAGTTAGTGCACAGTGCAGCGCCGACAGAATAGCTCCGACTATCAGATAAGCAGTCATCTGTGTAGCAGTGCCTGACGGCTCATGAAATATGACGTGAAATACTTTAGGATGATTGGATCAGGGTGCCAAAGAGCTTTCAGCGAGACAGGCCCTTTTGGTGGACACTTGAGCCACTTTTGCGGAAGCTTTTAAGGGAGTGATGTCATGGAGACCATCGATTTAATCGCAGTTCCAAAAGGAATCTGCACTATACTGCGAGTCCAGGCTGCAAATGCTAGCATGTCAAAGCACCGGCTACAAAGATAACACATATTTGGCAGGTGCTGTGCGTACACATTAACGGGCTCAATAAATCAAGAGATTATTGAGGCGTCGGAGACTTGCAAGAGGCACGGTGTCTGGTACCCAGCTTATACTGGTAGCGGACATGGCATAGTTCCTATCTTTATATGTAGTTTTTATTTATTCACGACGGCGCAAAAAAAAAATGTTTAAAAGTTAGTTGCATTCTGGGGAGAAAGACGGAATATCTCTCTTATCATACTGAGGCCAGAGGTCGTTCTCCAATGGCGCTCTCCGTTTTCAGATGAAAATCAAACGTGACCTCAACTCGTTTAGCACGAAATCACACTAGATATACGTCATTCAAACTGGGCTAGCCAGAGGCAATGACAAGACACCATTCAACTGTCCTGGGTGATTTCTGACACATATCATCCCAGAGCAGTGCAACGAGTATCATCCGACGTGGACTAGTCACCTGTCGGAATAGACGGGCTGAGTTGCGGCAGAACCGGAAACAGAAATCCTGTTGTTCGCTCAATCGGGTGTTGATTTTGGCTATTCAATACGGTTGTGGCATAAGCTATACCTTGGAACTGAGATGACTGTATATTTCGCAGTTATGTCCAGCTAAGACCGGATGTAGATTTGTAGAAGAGACATTTCAGGGTAGCGACTAGCGGGGATCAACAACAAACGGCGTCTCACTTGTCTCTCGATAAGGAGCCAAGCCGTTAGGGCGCAATAACACATAAATGTGCAATGTGGGGCTTGGTACTGTTACTTTCACTGACAGTTGGCAATATGAACCGACAAACATTACAGGTCAACAGTCTAGCAAATGCGGTGGTCATGGCTATTACCAGTTCTCGCCAATTCACACCAGCCGTGGCCGAGTCTCCCTATTTTTGACGTTTACGTTACAAGGCAGATGGCAGTGGAGACCACGTGTGGGACGTGTGCTGATCTATGACACCTTGAGGGTAGACGAGAAGAGCAAAAACGCCTGCAGGTGGGCGGCTGAAAACCACTTAATGACGTAAAACGATGCGCTCGATGTATTTTTTTTACATTCGAGAGACTGACTGAAAGGTGCATGTCATCAACGGTGGTGTTAACGACCCGATATATGATTTCAAAGACGGGAGAATAAAGAACGACCATCGCAAGTAAAGTATCGGTGGAAAGGAGCATATAAATGAGGAATAAAATTAAAGGGACCCTCCCACCTTAACATAAGATTTGAGTTGAGATAGCCAAAATGGGGTCCCTGGCTCACAATTACCGGTTTCGGCACTCACAACATCGATGCCTTAAATCGGAAATATTGAATTTCAAAATTGAAGCATTTTGATTCAGAGGGGCTAATGCATAAGAATACCCCTCTGAATGTGTGACGTCAGCGCAGATATCTAACGATTTTTAAATGTTTGACTAAAACGTTTTGTAGCACGCGGTTGTATATGCTGCTTTGCGCACAACAAGTGCCGCACTTTCAGCTGCCAAACCAAATAAAGTCGCTAGGAACAGCGGATATCCCAAAAAGTAAACAAAAGTAAAAGTCTAATATCTTGAAAACCGGTGAATATTTTTCGGTGAAATTTGGTAGATATTCGTTTTTGCTCTTTCTGAACCAAGCGACATCACTTTCATGCCAATTCATAATTTTTTTTGAAGGTGGGAGGGTCCCTTTAAAGAAAAATATTTAGACAGTATGCAAGTCTCACACAAAAAACACCCATGCTATCGCAACGATGCAGCATAATGAAAACCAACCATATGCAGATTGCAGACTCACTAGTTAGTAGCAATTTAAAACTTCTAACTAGCAACCCTATGACAAATGATTCATGACATGCGGCTTATTAGATTCGCACATCATTATCCGTCATCTCAAAACTGCTAGACACTTACAAATATGTGTTACATTTCATACCCTGGCCAACACAATTAATCATTGACGTTTTGTTGCTTTTAGACATTCTAGCCACGCCACTGAGCTGCACAAAGTCGCTTATTATCTCAGCGTGACTTCTAGCTGTGACAGGTCTTGACGGATCGTCGAGCTGACCTCAAGCAGTGAAATTGTTTGGCACCTACCTACGCCATGAAAGAAAACAGTTCTGGGAGAATAGACTTGACGACCGGGGATAGACAATCTTTAGGTACACCAACGACGCCTGAAGATAATGGCCTGGTAGTTGTTTCAGATTTCTTGTGATAGCATATCGCGTAATTTCACCATCGATGCATTCTGTCTACAAGTCTACCCGGATAGGACTCAAGCTTAGACGCCCAGGCTTGTCGCCGCACCCTGCACAAGCTCGCGAAGCTCATCTGATCATCCTGCAGCCGCGCCCCTAGTGCCGAACCGCCCACAACTCCACCACTGCCGCCGCCCCCGCCACCAAGCTACCGCCTAGCCGTCGTCGTCGCCGCCGCCGCCGCCGCCGCCGCCGCCGCCGCCGCCGCGCCCGTCTGGCCGGCCGGGGTCGGGCCCAGGTCGCCACGGTAGCCCCAGTCGCCGCCCGAGTGCGGTAGTGATAGGTCACGACTCACGAGGTCGACACAGTGCACGTCTGGCTCACAGTTCACACCTCAAACACAGGTGGGTTCGCCGGTTTGTGACTGGCAGGGGTGAGAGGTATTTATTTAGGTAGGATGGGAAGATGACAGTCACAATAGTGATAATTGTTGTTAGGTTTTTCTTGAGATCGATTTTTAAGGGTTTGCTTAACAGAGACATGTATGGAAGAGTCTGATGAGATGCCTTGTTTGAAATTGTTTATGTGTTAAACAAATGTCGAGCGTAAGGAAACTATGAAATGCGAATGCACATAGTCCTATTTTGAAATATTTCCATTTTTTCCTAAACTTTGTTACTTCCTGCACACTTCAAATGGCAATATAGCACAGCTTGTTTCGACTAATCAGTTGCAAGTGTTGGGCATTGTTTAGGTGTCTGCCAATATTCACCGGCATTTGGTCATGACAAGCTTTAGAAATAGACGGACACTTCTAACGCGATACGAGAGTGCTCCGCCATCATCATCACCTCTCCTCGGACAGAAATATCGCAACGACCAATATAGCTTCCCTGCCAATATCTATAACTGAATCTCTGCTCAGTAAAACTGTCTAATAACCTCTTGTCTGGGCCCTCCCATACTATCTAAGGCGGCATTGTATAGAAGCCCACCCACACTCCAGTGTATAAAGACTCAGCCGGTTTGGCTGCCAAATCGCGACTGGCTCTCGTGATGAAAACAGATCACCCACTGGGCCCGTAAATCAGCCGCCGAGCGGCGATGATCGAATCGTAAAATGTGAGCGATCTGGTAAATTATGAGGACCGATCCGCCTACCGTGCCAATTCAGATGTCGTACCTCTCTAATTGGTTGTCTCTTATTGGAGTTTTGGAAACGAGCGAGCACAAGCATGTTTCGAAAAATTGAGGGAAGTCGTTTTGCAAAAAAAAAATCACCCATGCGCTGTTGGAATGTCGTATTAGAAGGCACATGCTTAACCTTCGCCCCAGTGGGGGGGGGGGCATATGTTACCACCCTGTCGCGTTTTTTGCGTATAAATAAAAAACCGCGGCGCGTAGCGCCGCGCCGCTTGGCATAGCTTTTTGTACATCAATTTTGGACAATGTGTGAAATTTGTGACCCCAGGTCATGTCAGGTCAGGTCACCAGGTCAAGTTAACTGACCAGGCCTAAAAAAAGTTTGCAATCATGTCCAGCCTGCAGTGTTTGTCAGAAAGGTTTTAAACTTGGTGGATTGCATCATGTTATCGGCGCCTACAATTTGTATATCTCGGATTTTTTATATCCGTGACCTAAGGTCAGGTCAGTGGCGTGACCTTACCATTATAAGTCAATGGAGAAAAATGAAAATGCCTCTAGATCCGTGTGTACGAATAGCAACAGTCCAAATATTTCAGAATCATAATGATTTGGGCCACTCGTGATGACCAAGGTGTCATTTTTGCTGATAGCCTCTAGAAAGGTCATCCGAGGTCATTTGAGGCTACAAACAGATTTTTGCCAATAACTCGCGATTGGAAAGAGATAGAACGCTGGGGATGGCTTCATTGTGTTTGTCTTGTTGAGACGCATCGAAAGATATGCAACGTGACCTTTTCCGATCAGGTCATGACCTTGACCTGAGGTCAAATTTTCAAGTTGACCTTTCAAGGTCAAATTATAGTTCATTCGACGCGTCTCGTCGAGAGGAACACGATTCTGGCAATAGAAATGTCGTGGCTTTTTCTAGTCAAAAGTTATTGTCGAAAAACACTTTGCGTAAAAACAGCTATTTGTGGAGTTTTTGCACTCTGCAGGCTAAACCGTTGACCTGAGGTCAATTTTGATGATGACCTTATCGAAAGAAGAGTTCAAAGCTATCGATTGTTTTTCCATGCGTTTTTCTAGCTATCATAGTTCCTGAGATAAAAGCATGTTTTCTGAAAAATATAATGACATTTGGCAAATTTTGACCTTTGATGACCTCCAGTGACCCCAATATTGCTCCAAGATGAAAAATGACCGAAATACTTTCAAACGTACGCATTGAGAGCTATCGACTGCTTTTTACCGCGTCTTTCTAGCCCTCTTAGTTTTTGAGTTAGAGGTGGGTGGTAACATATGCCCCCCCTCACTAGGGCGAAGTTGGCTGAGACCGCCACTGGGGCGCGGGTTAATTAGCTACGAAAATGTTAATGCTATATAAGCTCAAAGGTCAATATTGAACACCTAATCCTTGGGTAAAAATTAAAACGAAAGGGCACTTATAAGTATCAAGTCGTCGACGGTTACCAAGGCTTCAGTTTTTTTTTTTCACATGTGTCAGCTAATCAGCCGCAGAATATCTCGTTACAGGTAAAGAAGTTCAATGGGACAAAGTGAACTTGTAAGGCGTCACCACAACCATAAAAACGCGTACCAAGTAATGGGTGTCAGTGTCACAATAGTCCGGGTGATGCTTTCCAAAGTTGGCGTTTGGGGTAGGCTGAGACACTAGCACTTCTTATATCGTGTAAACTATTCGCATGCAGGAGAGAAAGTTTTGGCATGGAAACTACATAGATCTTTCATTCTAAAATCGTAATCGGACTCACGATTAAAATATGGTGTCAGCTAATAAATGTGTTACATTCGGTATCAATATCCCTGTCTCCTAAACCTCACATATCTTTGCATTCATTTGCATGCTCTTCCTTGATGCGACCATAATTATATAGTGATTCTTGTTATCAAAACTGGGCGCTGACCGCTGTCAAGTTATCACAACAACACAGATGACAGGTCCAAACCAATGTGTTCTCACCGGTTTGGAAACACACCATGTGAATCATTTGGCGCAGCTGAAGCAATGTAAAGGTCACAGCGCCACAGCGGGCCTGTTGCTTCTGGTAAACCTTGGATCCTCTCCAACTTAGAGTCACCATGTCTGTTTCACAATCCACACACAGAAAAATATTAACACCGTTAGCGGTGTAATTGCACAGTACATATCTGAGCACTTGAGGAAAGTTAATTTAGTCCCTTCCCCGCTTAAATTACTCGCGCTTCTAAATGAACATCAGGAAGAAGGTAATAGAACACTGTTAGGAGGGTTGGGTGTTTTGCTACATGTAGTAAAACACCCAACCCTCCTAACAGTGTTCTTTTACCTTCTTCCTGGTGTTCATTTAGAAGCGCAAGTAATTTAAGCGGGGAAGGGACTAAATTAACTTTCCTCAAGTGCTCAGATATGTACTGTGCAATTACACCGCTAACGGTGTCAATATTTTTCTGTGTGCAGTTATATCCATGCTGTTCAGACTAGCTCCAAGGCGCGGATGAGGAGCAGCGAAGGTCAAAATCGTGCCACGGTCATTTTGACCACGAAACTCAATTGCGAGTTACAAGCGAAAAGGCATCTTGACAAGAACCAAAAGGCTGAACCCCCATTTCTGTTTGTTTTCAAGTTGCTAGCGCCGCTTTGAAGAGAAGGATGGAAAGACATTACTACATTATGGTAACAGCGCCTTGCAACGCCGTGCAAACACAATGAAAATATGCGATCTTCTGTTCCTTTTAATGTGTCGGACCGTTCCAAAAGCCTTCCACTTCAATTTAGCCAATTATAAGTATTATAAATGCATGTTAAAATGACGGACACCACGTCAACGCTGAACGCTCATCAGACACCAAAACCTTTGCACATTTGCATAGCCAGAGGCAATAGGTGTAAGACTGCCAACCGACCGCACGAAACAGTTCAAGTGTTCTCTTCGTGACTGAAGTGTACACATGGGAGTCGTTTGCACGTGATTTATCGGTATGTGCTGCCAATCTAGCTATTGACAGGCTCAGCGGCATTCATACCATGCCATTGTCGATTGATCTGCATCAGTACCTAAATCGTTCCTCTCATTTCTTCGTAGAATCTATAGCCGGTCAACAGCTGGGCCGTGCTCATTTATCAGCAGTCATACTCGATAATCAGCCTCCCTTTTAGTTCTCGAAGCTCAAGCGTCCGGCAATTGATCCATTCTCCAGCTGTCTGGACCGCTTTTCTTTACGGCTGCAGGGTCCATGGGCACGAAGCAGCAGTTGGGCGACCTCTATGCCGCAGCAGAAGGGGATTAGGGAGAGGTCATTGGCTGCGGAGACCAGACCCGGTGATGACGTCACCAGACGACTGATGATGTCATAGAGAGAGGAGCGGTAGCGTCGCTCGGCATCGATGAATTTATAATTACAATTGTTTGTTGGTAGGCTATCGGCAATCCTTCGTAGGACTTGAGGCCTCTCTTATGCACTTCTTACTTTTGTGTACGGAAGGACGTAGGTCCCTCACCCGTGGCCAAAAAATGATCAGCCAGCGGTAATTCTGCGCTTGAATGACCACCCCTGAATCTAACGCCAGCAGAATTTGATGGCAGATCCTTGGCGTCATTGGAGGCTATCCCTTCTTTGTGGGAGCCCGAGCCCCTGCACCGATCCAACAAACCACTTGAACAAATCTGAACATCGCATTTATTCTTCGATCCTCATTTAACTTTTTGATTACGGTTATAATGACCTAGCCCGACACATACACTGTTATTCCATTTTCTTCCACTCTAGTGATCAGTCACCACTCCTTCATCTTCTTTGAACATGACTCGAGCCGCTGTTCGACCACCGCATTAAAAAACACGCACGAAACCGCACGTGGGAGGGTCACGGTGACGTCATATCGCATCAATCGTGTTCGGAAATCAGCTGTCGTGTCGGATGCTCAGCCGTTTCCAATTTTTTTTTCGAACTACTCCGCCACCCATTAATAGGTGACCAGGAGTGCCCCCACCCTCAGCCCAGCGACTCACAGCACCTTACGTTAACACCAGACAAAAATAAAGGATAAGTCGCGGCACTCCCAGCTAGGAAAAGTAGGAAACAAAATCAAGCAAAAGAAGTGCGGGCAACAGGTTAATGATAAAAGAGAGCAAAAGTAGTCATTGCTGAATGCAGCGAATGACTGTCCAAATGCATCTACGAAAGAAGTCATTCATACAACCATGCATAATTGGTTAGTAGATGATATTTAAACATTCACTCATAGGAAAACAGCAGAATGGCAGTGGGGAAACATTTCTGGTCAATTCGAGCTCGAGTTCATAGCCAGACTTTCTGCGGCCCACCAGCTAAGCATAGCTTGTTGCCGGTGGGCCCCGTCAAGTCCGGCGTTCCAATTGAGTGGGGATGTATCTTTTGTGTTGAAAATGACACAGGTTGCACACAAAACAGTCAACACATTATTGTAGCCGGCATTTGCAGCCTTCCCGATAATAAATGTACCTATTGGTACATCCATTATTGGGCCACCTGTTGAGGTGCTGAACAATGCCTGTGAAAAGTACTATGCATATGTAATTTGTTAATTGTTATTAATGTTCGCATTGTCATTTGCTCTCATTTCCTATTTATATCAATATTGTTTGTATCTTCACCTTTCATTACAAAGATTGCTTACAAAATTAATATACTTTCATATTTTTTTCTAAGCCTGTTGAAAGCATTTAGTGGGTCCTTTATACCCAAGGATGCTTATCTACTAGTTTTGTTAATAACTTTGCTATTTTCCCACTACCTACTTTTGCTTAGTATACACTAAGCAATATATTCTTTACATATTTTTTGAAAGTGATCTTTGATTGTGGTATTTCTTCTAACAGAATATCTTTTGCGATTACATCATTCCAAAGTTTGGGTCCCATGCAGGCAAAGGAGAAGAGCCTGTAGTTTTTTGCTGAGAAGACAGGTTGAAAATGGTGGATATTCCTTGTATGGTGGATAGGTTCAGTTGAGAGTTGTAGCAATCGCCCTACAGACACTGGCAATTCATGTACTATGTACTTATGCATGATAAGTATTATTTGAAGTTTGACTATGTCTTTAATTTTTAGAATATTATATTTTTTAAATATTGGGGTAGCACTTTGTGGTGGGAAAATACCCTCAATGAGTCTCATGAACCTTTTTTGCAGGATTACCAGTTTTTGAAGATGTTCATCATAGTTAGAGCCCCAAATAAAGCAGCAGTAGTTGATGTAAGGAAAAATGAGGGAGTGATACAGTTGAATGAGCTGCTGTTTTGGGATAAATCGTTTAACTCTTGCAATCATTCCAATATTTCTGCTAATAGTATTACAAATGCTACTGATATGGGTTGTGAATTTGAGGTCAGAGTCAATTAGAATTCCTAAATATTTCACTGATTTCTTTTCTATTAACGCAGTGTCTTTAATGTATATATTCAGCTTTTCGGTACACCTGCGTTTTGAATACACTTGGAGAAATGTTTTTGATGTATTCACTGTAAGATAATTAGCTTCAAACCATTCTGATACTTTTACCAGCGCTTCATTGGTTATTTCTTGCAGTGTTTCTATGTTTTTATGTTTGAAGAATATTGCAGTGTCATCTGCATAGAGCATAAATCGACCTTCAAATTGTAAATTTACTATATCATTTAAATATAAAATAAAAAGAAGTGGTCCAAGGATTGACCCCTGAGGTACGCCTATTTTTATTTCTCGTTCTGTTGACTTAACCCCTTCTATCTGCACCACTTGGAATCTGTTCGTTAGATATGATTTAATTGTTTTTAGAACATGTCCTCGAAAACCCATTTTGTTTAATTTCTCTAGTAGTATTTTGTGATCTACCGTGTCAAAGGCTTTTGAAAGGTCAAGAAAGATGCCCGTTACAATGTCATTTTTTTCCAGTGCTTCAGTTATATAATCTTGTATAAGCATGATAGGCATGTATGTAGAGTTGTTTTTCCTAAATCCGAATTGGTTTTCTGAGAGAATGCATCTGTTTGTTGCAAACTCTGTCAATTGGTAGTGGATCAGTTTCTCTAATATTTTTGAAATCACTGGCAATATGCTAATTGGTCTATAATTTGACAAGTTATTTTGATCTCCATTTTTGTAGATTGGCTTCACAGATGCTATTTTCAATGGGTTTGGGAAGATTCCTGTTGAAAGGCATAGATTAAAGAAATAGGTAAGCTTTGAAAGGATAGGTTTGTAAGAATGTTTTAATATTTTTGAATTGATCCCGTCGACTCCAGCGCCAACATCTTTAAGCTGTTTAATTATTTGTTCTACTTTGTCATCAGTGACATTGCAGAAGTTTGAAAATTCTCCTTCTGCCTCTTGCACATTTTCTAAAGGATTTTTGTTATTACATGGAATATTCTGTTTCAATTTTTCACCAATTTCTGTGAAAAATTTGTTGAAATTTTCAGCCATTGACATTTTTTCAGGTTCATTATTATCAGTATTGTTAAGTGTTTCAGGTAAAATATCATATTTGCTTTTTTGTTTTAGGAGTTCATTTAGTGTTTCCCACGTCTTTTTGGGGTTCCTATTGTTTTTTTGGAATTCCGCTTCATAGTAGGCCTTCTTTGAATTGGCGATTGCCCTATTGAGACAGTTACGATATTTGTGGTATTGTGCTATGTTGTACATACTGGGATTTTTAAGTTTGTTAACAAACAATTTGTTTTTATGATTAATGGAACAGAGAATTGCTGGAGTCATCCATGGTTTTATAAAGTTATTTTTTCTCGAGCTTGCTATGTTTTTCGAGCACGAAGCAATACCATCCTTGTATGCCTGTATTATTTGTATGCATGCCAGTTCTGGATCTGTTTGAGCAGTGAGTCCATCAAGACTCTGTACTAGTTGGCCCCTGAGGGTTTCAATTTTGTTGTAGTCAAATACTGTTTTTACTTTATGTTTTTTCTTTTCCAATCTCTTATTTTCAATGTTTACAGTTGCAAAGATTACAAGATGGTCTGAAAGGTCTGTTAAAATGATTCCTGGTACTACCACTTTGGACAAGTCATTTGTAAAGATATTATCAATAAGAGTACCCGAGGTTGGGGTAATTCGGGTAGCTTTGGAGATGGTTGGCAAAAATCCATAACTACACATTAATGTAAAAAATGATTCATTAGCAGAATTATTTTTAATAGAAAATAAATCAAAATTGAAATCACCTGTAATGAATGCAAGCATATTAAGTGAGGTTAAGCTTTATAAAACCAATGGCTCGCCACTCCCCATGACAACTGAACTGTGTTCGTGCCCATCAAAAGTCTCCGCGCATTTTGATGAACAAGAATCCGTGAATGCGACGAAGCGTCCAAGTGGGTGACGTCATATATCCGAAGACCGAAACTGCATACCTGTCGGAAGTGCTGTTTTTGTGTCAGTGCCAGCGCACTCAAAGCAGGAATAACAGATTTACAGCTAAAATTTGCAGTATTCTGTTGTCAAACATACACCCTCCAAGTCGCAGCTTTACGCAAGAACAATCCAAATACGCAGCCAAGTGACATAAGCGCTATCTTTTATCTCAGATACGCAGTACCTGCAACATATGCCGCATTTCCCACAACATTTCTCTCTCATGACGACGGTAGGACGGGCAGCTTTGCAAAGCAGCTGATGTTTATTGTTCTGCAACAATCACACCAATGATGTAGCCTGTAGTCGCTATCGGAGACCACGGGTTTGAAATCTGACCATTGACAGCTTGTGAGGGATCAATCAGACAATGTTGGTTTGGGGGTCGGGTCATATCAGCAGCAGACGATAAATAGCCACACTGGGTGGTGTTAGATATCTTTGGTGGTTAACCTGGGACGGTGGATAAATGCTGATTGTCTAACTTTGTTTAGAGTATATTCTTGTCTGAAATGGAATTGCTGAATGTTTATGCATTGATAAGGCATCAAAGCACCGTAACATGGTTCAAAATTTTACGCTTAACGATCGATGCCGGAGGTGTTAACATTTTGATTATGATGCATAGATGGCCATTTGTTACTCTATGGTGCTATGAATACGAAGGTCTTTATGACTACGAGCCTCATTTTGGTCATGTTTCCCGAACCCCGTATATAATGCATCTCACAGCCTTCTGTCTCTTTCCAGCCATGCTGTCGCTGTTGACCTTGACCCTAGTGGTTGGGTCGGTCATAGGTCAACTCCGTGACCGACCCGACTACAGTGATCTTCCGGGGCGCTACTGCGAGCGACGAGGAACCGTCCGAGGTACGGCACTGCAGTTATTTCTTTCGACTATAGATCCATGTTTTTAGATGGTTTTCACATTCATATGTTATCATATTCTGCGTCACATTTCACAGACCTCGTCACCATTGTAAATCAGATTTTGCTGTTGCGGGCTCACGGTCACTCCACTAGACACCTGGGGAAACTGCAGTTTCATTTGGAGCATGTGTTCCAGGAGGAACTACAGTTTCATTTGGAGCATGTGTTCCAGGGGCGATCTGGGGCGATCGATTTGATCTCTGGGTGGCCTGTCCCACTGCTGTGGCCCGCCTGTATCAACGGGCTGACTAAACCGCTTTTGCGCACCAGCCGGCATGCAACAATCTATTCTATCAGCCCAATGGATTCCCCTTATCTTCTCATCCGATGACGATGGTCTAAATAGACAGAATGGGCATAATTTGCACCTCGAATCGAAAAGCAAACCGCTATTAGCCTTTTTTTCGATGGAATATCCGGCGAATGCACCTAATTTGACCAAATCTGCACCTAATCTCTTTTACAGCAAATATCTTCATTTTATGATTTTTGTCAGTGTTCTTATCGATGATGCCCTCTGATAATATGACAAAGCAGGCATATAAGCAATTAGTGCAAACCTAGCTGATAGCTACTAAGAGATAGGTACCCTGAACCTAATTTGACCAAATATGCACCTAATCTGCACCAAATGTGCACCAAATGTGTACCAGATGGCCGTCGTGAAAACGACTATTCTGATGCAAAAAAGTCGTGCAATTGTCTCTAAACGAGTGGATAACGGGACAGGCTTCGTATCAATTATGTTTTATTTGTTCATTCATTTTTTTTTTGCAGATAACACCACACTTCAAGGAGCTATTTTTCCATAGCTATGTTTGTACAGCTGAATGGAGCTTGCTGAAATGCTGCTGATCAATAGTTTATTTTTTTTTTAGTGTTGCGCCATCATTCCCGCTACCGTGATTGTAACCCAAGACCAACGTGTAACTGGGCCGTAGCGTGACCTCACTATGCTGACTGCGCTTTCTATGAACACTGTAATCATGCCTACTGAGTAGGATGTAAGATCGATTTATGCATGTCTCCACATTGCAAAATCACCAAACCAAAATATATAGTGCAAAACGATCCGCTAATGTAGCCACTACCACTCTGGTGCATATTTGCTGCTGACCGTATCTTGCACATCTCCCTGCTTTACATTTGACCTTGACCTTTACGGTGACCTTGCGCTGACCCGCAGGAGACTGTTGTCCGCAACGTCTGGACGACTGCAGCCGACCCATCCGAGATACACTCTGCTACTGTGACGAGTTCTGTGACCGCGGCGCGTCTGGGGACTGCTGTCCCGACTACTTCACATTCTGCCTCGGGGAAATACCGTCAGAACCTCTAAGACGTGAGTGACGTCATCAGAGCGATAGTGACGTCATCAGGGGTGGTGGTGTCGTGTCTCGGCCAAATAGACCTCTCTGACTGATGTATTTGGGAATAGGATGATGAAAGCAAGTCAGCATCACGTTGATTTTCGTATGCGTGTGGTAAGAGATGTGGGCGTGGGAATGCGCTGTACTACATGCTATATGTTCAGCTTTTTAGCACTCATGTCATGCAGCATCGTGTCTCCTAGCCGACACCATCATCTTAGATTAGCATTACTTGGGCAGCACCGAATGAAGGCAATGCAGTCGTCACTTCTCAGGATGTGTGTGTGTGTGTGTGATTTCCCTCTGCGTCACTCAGATATGGATGCAGGGGAGATAGATCAGCAGTTGTCCGGTGAAACTTCAGTTTTGCATTACTTTTTCAGTGTCATGCCAGTTCAGAACGGACAAAATTCTTCCCGGCAACACTGTGCAAAACAACTGCAATACTTGGTGAGTTCATACCGGCATACTCAAAAAGTCACGCAGATTGTTTCATTGCTTGTTTTGAGTTACCCAGCAGAACAAGCGGAACGACGAAATAAGTTCTTTGTAATGTTGAAAAACAATGGGATAATGAAGGCAATGGCACTCTAAAATCAGCATACTTATACGATGCACCAATATAGATACTTTCAACTCGTCTCTGTATCACAGTTTACCATCGTCACCGTGAACGTTCTCGTCTTCTTCGTTTCGCAGCAAATGCGAGCAAGTAAGCGAAAATGAGACGAGGCTGATGTGTGAGACTCAACAGTGTCTGGTTCAGGAGGACCTCATCCAGGACATCAATTACAACAGCGCATACGGCTGGACGGCCTCCAACTACTCCCAGTTCTGGGGCCGGAAGCTCAACACTGGACTCAAATATCTTCTCGGCACCAACTATCCCAACGATTTGGTGAGTGCGTGGCGACGGGTCTTACAATTTAGGCAAAATGCTGTTCTTTCTGTATGTCCACCATGGGACGATTGAGAAGACCTGGTGCAGCATGAAATCTCGGGGAGCTTCGGTAAGCAGTTATGTGGCTGCTTTGGATGATTTTGTGTCACGTCTACCTAAGACAGCGTTTACACGTATTGCCGCAAGGTTGTCAGTGAAAACGCTCTTTTCTGCTTCTGTCCCCTTATCATATCAATCAATCGTTGCCTTCCCCTGCTCCAGATCACCCAAATGTACCCGGTGACGAAGATTTACGACCCTCGTGAGCTGCCCCGCTCGTTCGACGCGCGCGACAAGCGCGAGTGGTCCGGTCTAATTGGTCCAGTCCAGGACCAGGGGTGGTGCGGCGCCTCGTGGGCCTTCTCCACTGCGTCCACCGCGGCAGATCGCGTGGCAATCCAGAGCCCTGAGCGGCGCCGGGTGCACCTCAGTGAGCAGAACATCATTGATTGTGGCTACCTACGGAGAGACGGCTGCGAGGGTGGAAACCTGGACCGCGCCTGGAACTACCTCAGAAGATACGGGTGAGTGGGGGAGAGGGGAGAGATGGAAGGGAGAGGGAGAGCCCGAGAGAAGAGGGGTGAGAGGAAGGGCGAGAGGGAGTGGTATAGGAGAGGTAAAGGGAGAGGAAGTAGACGGAAGAGTGATAAAGAAAGAATGGGAGAGTAGTAGGAGAGGATGGCGAGGGGAGGAGAAGAGGGAGAAAGAAAGAAAGAAAGAAATAGAGAGAGAGAGAGAGAGAGAGAGAGAGAGAGAGAGAGAGAGAGAGAGAGAGAGAGGGAGAGAGAGAGAGAGAGTAGGGAGGAAGGTTTGTGACGGTGAGTCCAGTGAGGGGTAAGTTAAGGTAAGGTATAGGGTTTGTTGTCATCGGGCATAGGCTCGATCATAGATAACATGAATCGGCTCGATGGTTGCAGCTGTTATGAAACTTATAAAATGATTATGTTACCTACTTCGTAAGTTCCAGCTCAGTCTGTCTATTTACTTCTGTTGATGGGACCAACAAGCGCTATTTACTAATCATACTCTTTGAGTAGCTTCATTAGATGAAAAAAGTGTTTATAAAAGCTGATAAAATCAGAGCCATCTTACATTCGCACTGCTTGCCTCACATGAAAAGAGCACTGTTTTAGCTGACTGGACGATTAATCCATGATCTCACCAATTAAACCCCTTTTACTAATGCTTAATTGAGTATCCAATTAACATGATTACACGTCGAAAAAGTTTGTCGCAGCTGAATAATTTATGAATCACCTCTTGTAGTGACACTTCTGTATAAAATGGGACGAGAAAGGATGCTTGCTGAGACTAAACACCAATCTCAGCTGTACTACAGAGGGTCGCCATAATGTTAGGATGCACGGTATACACAAGCGGGAGGAAGCCATAGCAGCAGACGCTATCCATCAGTGCCAAAGCAATATTTACACACACCGGCTTCACGGAGCTCGACGACCCCTTGTCGCCCAATAAACGATGATTTAATTGTAAGTTGTAACCTTTTCTTAGAGGAGATTGAGAAATTTGCTGATTTGGAGATCACTTTTTGTGTATCTAAACCGTGGGAGAATCAACATTGATAATTTATATCTAGCAATGCCTTGGTGTCATGCATTTGATAACATTGTCCTGCATTGAGATAGTTACATTCCATCAAGCCCATTTTTCAAAACAGCGATAAATAATCCACCCACTATTGCAAGCATAAACAAGATATAATGCAGTCACCCGCTACTGTCTGCATGCAGTGGCCGCATGCCTTTCTCTGTGTGAGACGGTGCGTGCCACTGCTCTGACTTCAGATATTCAATGTCACGTTTTGGACAGTCACGGTGCACTGAATGTCACGTTTAGGGGTCTGCCAGGCTGCAATTTGACCCCGGACCGTGATGCACGCTGCCGGTGTGTGAAGGGTCAGCGAGTGCGGCCAACGAAAACAGTAGTTTGTTCGCGTGCACGCACATGTGTGCACGGTGCAGTCAGCTGGTGGAGGGTTTATGTATTTATTTTGCACGTCACATGCATAAAGTGCCTGTGAAACGGAAAACAAGCGTGACGCTGCTTACTGTTTCTCCTAAATGATTCTCGAAAAGAGATGTTTTAAATTAATACCTGCAACTCACAGATATGTTCAGTTTCACATGCAGCATTAATTAGTTATAATCAAAACATATTCCTGGTTATTTTATGCCCAATGGAAAAATTAGGAAACTTCATTAGAATTATTTTAAGGTCAAGGCAGCGAAAACGCATGGATGCTATCCTTTTTTCTCTAAGGGTCGCCAATTTTATAACTGATATGAATATTTTTGTTAAGAGTTCGGAGTTGACATCTCTTCCAAACCTGTTTCTAAAACGGAACAAAAATACGAAGGATAATTGATCGAATTCTTAGCTTTGTGCAATGCGTGGTAACGTTTAAACAGCACATCGCTGATTTGTTATTAATGTGCAAATACCGAATCAAAAGCAGCACTTGTAGGCATGGGCGGCGCCACCGGGGGGGACGGGGGGGACAGGTCCCCCGCTATCGAAAGTTTGGGGGGTACAGTACCCCCCTATCGGCGAGGCCCGTTCAATAGTTGATAATAATGCATTGTAGAGTTATCCGTCGCATTTAATGCATCGTTGGTTAATCAAGGCAGGTTCTGAATAAAGATTGCTGTTGGGATGTACCTATCGCAGGGGGTCCTGGCCATCTGCAAAAGGTGTGGAGCTGTGATGCCTGTAGTAATAAGGTGATCGGCAGGGCCTCGGGGATCGTGCCCCCCCCCCCTTTTTGCGGCGCCAGGCAGGGTTATTACCTCCCCACCTCACTGCCACACCCCATTGCCGACAAAACCAAGTTTACTGAAATTCCATAGATTTCCGTTACTATATGGATATTTTCCATTCCTAATTAGTCAAATTCAAGCATGGCAGTTCTACCACAGGAACCATTTGAAATCTATTGCCATTTAACCCCAGCACTTGTGGGGAGAAGTGTTCGGATAGATCACAGGCAGGACCAAAAAAGCACGCAGTAGCCCAAGACCTTATAATTGGGTAGCATCGGCTCCCTCTCGTCAAGGGGCTCGATAGCACTCGTTTTTTTTTCTTCTGCAAAACTAAGTTCGGTCGGCGGCCGAACGGCTGGGGGTCTAATCGAGCCCCACCTCCCCTTCTTACGTCAGCGGCTGTGAAAATGCCATTACCAGCTGTTGAAACATGGCAGTTGCTTTTTCATGAGTGCACGAAGGGTTTTAGGTACGTGATACGTAAAAGGTTCTACATGAAAATTGAGATAGGTACACCAGCTTATCAAATTGTGTTCACTGTGGTGCGCTCGGTTTTACCTTGACTAGTCTTTGAATTCTGGGGTGAAACAGACCAGTCAAGAAACCTGTTCCATAAGGAGAGCCACTAATGCTAAAGAGATGAGGGATGAGGTTTCCAGAGACCTTCATTACCTCCCAAAGGGGGTGCCCACTGCCCCGCCATTTGCCAATCCCTGCTGTAGTTGTTACGATTGGAGGGAGGGGGAATATGAGAACGACTGCAGGTCGTGCCAGCTCGATCATGACGAACACAATGGTGCCGACATCACAGCTCTACTGCCATTTTTGACGAAGTTAAAAAAAGTCAACAAGGACCGGAATCCTACCCTGGGGCATTTCACCTGCAGAGGTCGCCGGACCTGAGACCCTTTCACTCATTTTTTTTTCAGCGGTGCATGCGCTCGTTTTTCCTGCGAAGCTCTCGGTACACTGAAAACAAAATGACACAAAAAACGACTAAAAACGCACAGGCAGAGCGTGTTAACTAGGTTTTCTTGTGTACCCTGCATCATGCATTTTTTGACCCGTCGCAGACGTGTCAATTTACAAATGTGTTAACCCAGTCGTGTTGTGTCCTAAAACACAATATAATTGTGTCTTCAACACATAAGGCTTGTGTGAATACATTTGCAGAATACAAGGTAAATGTGTTACTAAATTTAACACAAATCGCAAGTGAAAGAAGGAAACACATGGTGATTATGTAGTTTGTTGCCGGGGCGCAGTTGAAGGGACTTTAGCTTTGGCTGGACAAGCTGATTGCCAAAGCCGGGCCCCGAGTGGAATCGGGCGCATGGGTGCCGTCAGGGCTGAGCAGTGAGCACCCGGCCGGCCGACCCATACGGTCAGAGCGCGGTCAGGGCTGAGCACGCGGCCGACCGACCCATACGAGGCCGCCGACCCATACGCGAGCTGGAGTTGCGCCCGGTCGGCCACTTCAGAGCCGAAGGGTGAACGCGTCACGTGGACGGCTCAATCAGAACACCAAGAGACGATGCCCCAAATTGGAGGACTATTGCACAATACAGTTGTCCAGACAGCCGGGATGAAGTTTCGGCCAGCGATTTTTCAAATATATCCTATATAGACCGAGGAGTTTCTTCCTCCAAGCAGACGTTAATTAGCTATGCTTCAGTTTGCACTTGATGTAATCAGCGCATATTGCTTTAGACAATTTATCATGTATCGACCATAGAGATCTTATATACATAGAGATGACATGCACTTAAAATCGTGGCGATTCAGTGGGTCTTTTTAAGCAACTTATTTTCAGCCAGTAGCGTGCCAATATGGCTGAGGCGTTGTTAGTCTGAAGAAATTATTACGTAGCGAGCGAAGCAAGCGTAGTCTTTCGTAGATTAACGGAAATTTCTGAGTATGAGTGGCCGGCCGGCCGTGGTTACGCTTTTGCGAGGCTTATATCTCAGCAACCACTTGACCGATTTACACGCGGTAATTTTTGTAGGGTAGCTTCATTCCTTCTACCAAGTATTGGACTATTCTCGATGCATGTGGGTGACCGCTTATGCACGTGCCACGTGCAAAACGAAGAGGTGTCAGTTTTGCAATTGTTGCAATATCTTGGTAACTACTTGGCCGATTGCGCTGAAAGTTGGTATGTAGGTAGGCACCCACTAGGCAATGCATATCCATGTGCCACAGTTGGGGTGCTGCTGCACGTGCGCACGTGCAGGGGTCGATTCCAGATCTCGAGAACGGCTGAACCGATTGTGCTGAAATTTGGTACATGGTTAGGGACCAGTTAGTAGGGTGCCGTGCAAAAGTCAGTTGTGACCCATTTTGCACGTGTGCACGTGCAGGGTGCCGCTTCCAGATCTCGAGAACGGCTAGGCCGATTGCGCTCAAATTTGGCACATCGCTAGGGACCGGTTAGTAGGGTGCAGTGCACAAGTTAGTTGGAGGTGACCCTTGCAAATTTGCTTGTCCAAGGCCCACCCTCTCGCTCGCTCCGTTGGTCGCCCCAGAAGGCGGTTTACTGGTTAAAAATATTGCTGTTCTTTCCTGGCTGATTTCATTCCTGAGGTAAGCAATGAAATTTGTAGCATGATTTCATTTTGTGTTTTTATTGAATTCCTTAAAAGCTCGCCTAAAACATTCTCTCTCATTCAGGCTCTCATCAACCCGGCAGGCGGTGGACCACCCGGCCACCTTCCGCGCGGTGGGGGGGGGGGGGGGCATTTTTTTGCCCCCTCCCGTATCTCCGAAACTACTGGACGGATCCGTAACATTCAAAGGATGTTCGATAGCCCGATGTTCGATACATAGTAACTACATATTGACTCGTAGTTGTCACCTGACAAGCAATGCACCAGACAACGGCTTGTTTAAAAAGGGACGCCATTTAATTGCGTCCCAGAAAAGCTATTTCTGACACCTAAAAGCTGACTCGCCCCAAAATTGGTCCTCAGCACCTATTTGTGGATACCAGCACCAATCATGGAAAATGACCTTAATTAGCTGTTTCTGGCACCTATTCATCGGTACGCCTTACTCTTTTTTCTGAATCTGGCACCTAAATGCTGAGCGTAGCACCAATCTAGAAGAAAAATGAACTACTGGCTGGTAGAATCATGTTGTTCTGGTATAATGACCCCTGGAGTCTAGCCTAAAGGTTGCCAGTGCAGCTACACTCTAAGACAGCCCCGTAGTGATCTCAGCATTGTATATGACGTTTAAGTAAGCAAATAATATTGATTTGTTTGAAAAAAAACAATGTCATTTAAATATTTAAAAGTATTTATTTGTAATGCTTAAAGGGAAACATTTTTGTGAGTAATTGTCTCGATTTTGACCATTAAAACGGGTATTGTATTTTTTGACGTCATCTAATAGCTCCAAAAAAGAAATGTAATGTTTTCATTCCGTTCAAGGCCGCTGAAGAAACGCGGGATCTTGCGTGGGACATTGTCTGTTGTTTGCCGCGCAGAGTTGTGCCGTGGTTGTGCCTTTTTCATCCGTTTCTTACTTATGTGTGCATGAAGCTTTGATTTTGTTTTTGGTTATTGTGTGGCCGGTCAGTCAAACGCCCCTGTAGAAACCGGATGCTGCGTTTGATCGAGATGGAGTCAGACGATGATTGCAGAAAGCTAAGAATATTGAAAAGAGGGCCGGTTGCGTGGCATGTCTGTTCAGAGTTGACATTTTGCTTTACTCCAGTTTATGACCTGAGAGCCTGGCTGGAAGTGACGGACCCAAACTTTTCACGTTAAAATGGCTGAGGGTGCAATAATCTCTACATAGCGGGCTGGTATAGGAGCCTCTTGCTATGCTGCACCATAGCTGGCTAGTGATTCTCTTTTGGCTAGAAATGGCATTAATCATTATCTCCACTGGCGAAAATGGCACTTGACATCACCGAATGCAACGTTCATGTTTGTTAGGATACATAAAATCAGGAAGATTGCGCGAATTAAATAGGCAAACGTGGAATAAAATAGGTGCTGGATGTTTTGGTTTTGGTGCTGAATCAGCAAACAGCAAATACGGAGTTCAACTAGACGATCTGGCAACTTTAGGCTGTGTGGAAGCAATTAGGTGCCAGATTCAGATATTAGGGTCGAATAAGCATTTTTGGGCTGAGCAGCAATTAGGTGCCAGAAACAGCTTTTTAGGGACCAGAAACAAATATTCCCCTTTAAAAAGTATCAGTTGGTAAACATACCAAGAGATGTTTGGTTACATTACACAAGACTTGTCAATTTGGTTTACAGTGTACATATGTTGCATGTTCCCATTCAATGATACATTAACCCTCGCCGGACCTATTGGCTTTCTATGTACATACGCGCCGGCCGGGGGGGGGGGGGGTACGATTTCCCTCGCCGTTTCGCCCCTGATGAAGCTAGAGCGTCGCGGAAAAAACAAGCGTGTGCGCCGTTACAAGACGCAGGGACTGGTACCCGATTTTAAGGTCTCATGAGGTCAGGTCAAGTGACCAAGGGCCAGGGTTCAGTTTTTCATAACTTCGCAAAAAAAAAACGGTCGGAGAGCCGCGATTTTGGCATCATCGTGTTCGCCTCGCTCAGGCGCGTCGAATGGTATACTTTTTGTTCGGGTGAGGTCAACTTGAGGTGTTGACCTCGGGTCAAGGGCAGGTCAGCTCCCCCAGATCACGAAGCTGGTTGAAAGAGGTCATGTTACATATTACTCGAATCGGCAGGTCTTCCTGAGTTTATTGGTGGCTTTCCCGACTCGCTAACTCAATTTGATGGGGAGTTATTGATGAAAAACTAATGACCCAAGTATATAACCGCAATGAAAACCGTAAGCCTCATGCTAATAATTATATTCAAAATAGGGCCAAGAAAATAAGACATGTTGGCCAAACTGACAAACTGACTTTTGTCAAACCGTCTTACGGTTTTCATTGCAGTTATATATGTAATCATGAGCCTCAAAACCGCACTTTCTGTAATCAATGACCCCAGTTACCATAAATGACGCCACGCAATGTCAACAATGCAAAAGTGAAGCATCGGACCTTACAAGGCGTGCAAGAAATCACGATTCCATGTGCTGGAGACAGTTTGAGATAGTTCTCGGCGCTAACATAGCAGTTTTCATTTTTCCCCATTGACTTATACCTAATGGTGAGGTCACGTGGCCGACCTGACCTCATGTGATTTTTAGGGAAAATCCGAGATATATGTACAAGTTGTGATACCTCTGGATGATACTACATCCTGTAAGTTTCATCTCCCTGTGAAAGTTCCTCTGGCACTGACGGCGTTGCGAAGTTGCGACATCTGAGGACTGTGCAGAGGTTCACTTATGACGTCACAGGTCAGTGACTTGACCTGACCTGAAAATGCGGTTGGTGTCACAAGATGCGGCTTGGATCAAAGGTCAGGTATGCCAAGTTTCAGCTCTCTATCGCCTGCGTGTTCGGAGCTATCGTGAAAAACCCTATAGGGAGGCGGCACCCGCCCTCCCCCCCCCCCGGTCGGACGGCGAGGGTTAATGATACATGCAGTAGGTACCTGATAAGAGCATAAGGTTAAAACATGCCTTAAATTCATTTCAATAATAACGCTCGAAAGTGTCACAGCTAGACAAAAAAGAAAAACTACTTAAAAATAAGCGGATGTGAACACAATCTCCTTGACCGAATCCTTACAAAATGCAAGTCACGGGCCATGGCACCCCAGAAAACCTTGCTTAAAAAGACCCACTGAATCGCCACGAAATCAAGTGCTTTAACATAGGCGTGTCATCTCTATGTATATAAGATCTCTATGGTATCGACTCCCTCGGCTGTATTGTGCATTTTGACCTTTCTCAAAACACTTTGGCAAATTTTTACAAAAACGCAGCATAAAAGTCGGTGCTCGAAAAACGCCCTCTGTTATCCCCATCTGAAGTTAAGGTTCAGAGGTCGCTCACTGGTGGATGGCACGGTATATTTGTGTAAGGGTACACGTCTACCATATCCGACAACACATGATTTCGATACACTGATGCATTACATTCGTCCAGCGTGCTTGGCACGAGAAAAGTGTGTCATTATTCTGTTTTCTGTGTTATCAAACGTGTCGAAGGTCCCGCCAAGCGTGAAAATACACAGCCTTATTGTGTTTTGGGTGCGATTAACACATGACTGATGTGTTACCAGTACAGAACATGCCCTCACTGTGTCGATTTGTTTTCAGTGTAAGTAACATCCATCAGAAAGTGTGATCAAATAACGGCTGGTGACCTTCCATGACCTAGCATGACCTTTTGAGTGACCACGCACCGATGACATGACCACTGACGGCTAGCCAGAAGCTGCACCCTGCCCGTTGCATATGGAACAGGTGGTGATGTCATGATTCTGAAATTATATTGCAGTTTTGGCGCACTTGTCAGAGCAGAAGACATTCCCACTTTTCCTCCATGACTATAGACGTATGATGGTGAAGCCATGAAGCTGACCAGACGTAAGATCGAAAATTTGAAAGTACGAAACGTAAGAATAGTTGGCACTGCTACTCATACCTAAGCAATTCGCAGCTTGTAGGAAACCAGCTTTGAGTTGGCAAGACTGCAAATTTTGATTTAGAGGCAAGGATGCTTGAAAAGGTGATCGATCTTAGGTGTCCTAGGATAAGTTTGGAAACGGGATGCACCATTCGATGTGTTTTGGGCTTTGCGGGCTTTGCCAAGTTTCGCGGCGTTACGTGCCTCGTTTTTTTTTTTTTGCATACACGATCAGTAGGTATCTACTTTTGGGATTTTCGGTCATGGCAAGCCCCCGTCCCCGTCCCCCCCTATCGAAAACCCGTGGCGCCGCCCCTGCTTGTAGGTCTATCTGGTTTTGATGTAGACTCGGTAGGTACCAAACCAATTATTGCGCAAAAGCATCATGTAGCTCAGCTCTGGCAGTGCATCGCTGCAAAACATACCAGTAAATTACATGCAGAGTTTTACAAACATTTCTGGGACCGATCATACAACTAATTTCCAAATACGCTATACATCAGCCCTGGACCACCACTCGTTTATTTATACGCGCAGTATATTTTCCCAATAACCGTTCGCCGTTCGGTTGCAGAGTGGCCGAGGCCGAGTGCTACCCGTATGAGTCCGGGAGCACCCAGACCAAAGGCACGTGCCGCACTCCGCGCCGTTCGAGGAGCCCGCACGAGCTCACGTGCACGAACGGCACGAGGGTGTCGCTGGGCCGGCGGGACATGATCGGGATGCAGCCACCCTACCGAATCGCCAGCGAGGAGCAGGACATCATGCACGAGCTGTACCACAGCGGACCCGTCCAAGGTGAGTGCAGATTGGCAGTCCAGGGGACAGAGCTTTTGTTATGTGTTTATTTATTATTGTATTGCTGCATTTGCAACTATCCGCGATGTTTGGTTTTGTATAAAAAAATATGTTTGACCTCTATCTTATCATTTCCCCTTCTTTTACTTATTTAGTGCCCATTGTTACACACTTTTCAGGCATGAAATGACCTTTTTCCAAAGTCGCATTTCTTTCATCAAGTGGTGGTTTTAAGTTATTTATCAAGATCCCAGTTGCTTGATTGAAGAACAATTTACCCACAGCAAAGATGACAGCAAAGATGAAGGGACGACTTGGTTTCACTTCTTAAAGAACGTCTGAGCTTCACAGAGCCATGAAATTTTTCTTCTCAGAAGATGACATACGGAAATGCAATGGAGAATAGATAGCTCCAGCTTGCCTAGATTTCAATAATTGTGTTTCTCCGAGGATCACAATCAAAACTCTTCTTTGGTAATTCCAGCTTTCAATACCGGCCAGCCTTCCGCTGAATTCCTCCATTCCGTTGTGCATACCTCACCCGCCAACCTCCTCACAGGCCGTGTTTGTTCAGCTGGTGCCGGCGCCTCTGCCGCCGTCCTCCCACACACTATCTACCAGCAGACAGACCACAATGCACTGACCGACTCGTGCACACTGCACAGCCGTCCTTACCGCGTGCACCGTGCACAACCGACCCCTCGATGCAGAGCGATTGAACGCTCAGAGCCCGTCGCAAAGTCCTGCCACCACCAGAAACGTGAGCTGGGCACGGAATGAGAGCAGCCAAGCCACTCCGGTGGCTGCGAAGAGTCAGGAGTTGTCTGAGGGTGCATTAGGCGGGGCAGGGCTTTGGAGGTCATGCACTGCTGATGGTGCGGTTCGGCTGGTGCGGTCCTTCTGATTGTGACACCTGACAATTGTTTGGCTATGTAATGGCCATGGGTGATATTACTGGCTGCGAAGAATGCCCGATTCAAATTACAAAACATCCAATTCAGACTCATTTTACATTTACTTTAAAAGTCAACCACTAAATCATATCGTCATTTGGGATAACTTATCCCAAGCTATGTTCGTGACACCTAACAAACTTTTTGTTTCAGCCCACGAAATCTTTTGTGGCTTGATATATTTGTATGTCAAACCACGGCACCGATCCCCTCATAAATTGTATGCTATCGAATTAGAACTTTCGCAACAGCGGGCAACATCCTTTTTTAGAACGGCTCCCCTGTGATCCACATAGCTTACCTACACTGCATGCTACGCGAACCTTAGTGTAGCCTTTCATCCGGGTGACTCGTATTTCTGAAACGGATGTGAGCACCCCGAGCGGATGTGATTGCCCCCCCCCCCGCCCTCTCAACACAGTCACTCGAGTACGAGCCTGCCAAAATACCGGGTGATTTCGGTCCAGTGATCTCATCAGGTGGCCCCACGAGCGAGAAAGAGTCATGGCGCCGTCAAAAGTCGACAGATGTGTTCTCGGATAAACATCGCTTATTCACGAAGATTTATGACAAAAACAATGCGGCTGTTTTGATCAACAAAAAACGGTTCTTTTCACTAAAGATATTGCTAGTTTCTTTAGAAATAATGGGCAACAGTGACGTCATATAGTGTTTCTTTAGACAAAAATAATGCCTAGCCTAAAGATAAATTGTGTCCTGGAAACCTTATCACATAAAACTATTTTCATCTTAACGTGCTTCCAATAAATGACCATGATTCTCCGATAATACGCCCGCGGCTGTTTTGGGCTGTGGATGGCCGTGATGACAGCCCACCGAGACGCGGTGACGGCATGACGATAAAATCCAGACAGAAAGGGCCAGGCTGGCACGCTGCCAGCCGACCGTCTGGCTACACCCGCCCAGCTGTTGTGAGCTCCCTGGTCACATAGCCCCGGGCGGTCTATGCCAGGTCACGAGACAAGCAATGAAGAACCCGAACGAGTATGGGTGTCATCGTATTTTGGGGAGCAGCGAAGTCAATATCACTGTAGTCGTGTTGATATGAAGTTGTTTTTGTTTCTATTTAAATTTGAACATAATTAGCCATTTTCACGACGGGCTATCCGATGAATGCACCTGATTTGACCAAATCTGCACCTAATTTCTTCTACAGCAAATATCCTCATTTTATGAATTTATTTCAGTGTTTTAATCGATGATGCTCTCTGATAATATGACAAAGCAAGTATATGAGCAATTAGTGAAACCCCAGCTGATAGCTGCTAAGAGACACACTGAAGCTGAGTTGACCAAATCTGCACCTAATCTGTACCAGAAGTGCACCAAATGTGTACCAGCTGGCTGTCGTGAAAACGGCGATTATCAACTCAAAGCTGCGGTTTTAACTGCTTTTGAAGAAAAAAAAACATATGTTATCTGTAATTTGACTATACCAAAGTGGCGCAGCTAGATTGTTGTTCCATTTAACGCTACTTAGACGGCGAGACTGCCAAGAACATCAACTTAATCCGTCAAATGAAGATGAATCTCAGACGAACCGACCAAAGCAAGTAGCTGGAGTGCCGACTAACAAGCCAGCTCTGTAATGAAGACATTCACCGTTAGACGACACTGACCACACGACTACCTTCTAATTAACGATAACCATCGCTTCATGTTGAGCTTGAGACGACACTTATACGATAAACATCAGAGCTCGCTAAATGGAGCTCATCTGCACCGGATGTCAGTCATATTAGCGTGGGCGGCGGCGGACTGAGTGTGCTGAGAGCGGGGGCGGGTCGGGGGCGGGGGCGGGGGCGGGTGATATCACCTACCTTGCTCGGGAGGACCCCTGCACCGCCCAAAGTGTGGCAATTTCTCTGAGGAATGCTAGCGGGAGAGCTGGCCAGCCGTCTCCTGTGATGTTGGGAGATGCTCTCACCCGGGCATGTTGGAGTAGTGAGTCAAAGGACGCCCCAGCAGCACATGTCTATTCCCTGTGGCCTCTGTTGTCATCGTGTCACTGAGGTCGGTAGGCCGCTGCCACCGGAGGCGACTGAGAGAAGGGGGCGGGGGCGGCGAACAACACCCTGCAAGACACCCTCCAGACGAAGGCAGACCGTAACCACCGTGGGCGGAGGGGCTGCCTCTCGTTGACCGTTAGCACTTTGGCGGCCTTGCTGCGGTGGGGCAGGGTCATATAGCTAAGCATGTCCGGTCCAGCAGCCGCCGGAAGGTGTCCAATGCAAAGACTACCGACCAAGAAACTATAACATAGCCACAGGCGCGGTCTGAGGGTGAATGTATAACTGCAGTTGGCTGGGGTAGGGTCAGGAACACGGGACGTGTCAAGTGGTACATTCTTGGGGCTGACGTCGACACGGGTGGCCGTTTGCGGTGGGTGTGTGCTCGATCGGGTGACCCAAGCCTAAACATGAGGCCATTTCTGCGGCCAGAAAAGCCAGCAGGACAGCTTCCGTCTGGAAATCGTCGTGGTGTCATTACGTCATCGAAAGGTCCACTTCTGAAGTCAGATTGTGCCGTTTTTCAGCCAGTCAAAGGGTAAAAGGAACAAACATGGGCATACTCGTATCGTGATTCGGGGCTTGAAAAAATCACACTGTCGATAATAATGAAGCACTTCATCCGAAAAAAAAACAATGCCACCTGCTTCTGTTATTATATTACTCATCGGGGATAAATGTTTTCGGACATCTTATCCTTAATTTCTTTCTTTTTCTTTTGCAGCGATCATGCAGGTGCACGAGGACTTTTTCGCGTACCGCACGGGCGTGTACCGCGTGACCGGCCTGCGCTCCTCGTCTCGTACCGCGTACCACTCGGTACGCATCCTCGGCTGGGGAGAGGAGACGGGCGACCGTGGCCAGCAGGTCAAGTACTGGGTAAGTACCGAGTACAGCTCTGACATGTTAGGTACTGGGTAAGTACCGAGTACAGCTCTGACAGGTGAAGTACTGGGTAAGTAATAGTGGTGGCACTGACAAGTTATGTAGGTAATCGACGAGAAATGGGAACAGTACGAACTGGTGACTGGTGAGGCATCTTTACTGTTTTAGAGCACTTGCTTGTAACGGAGCCTTAATTAACTCGTAAAGACCCTACACTGGATGCAGCTGCCCTGCACTAGATGCAAGCTGAAAATAATGAAAATTGTTTTCTCCTTCCGCAAGTGCCGATAAAACCCAGAAGCGCACCAATGCACTACCTTGCAATCAATGCGCGTCAGGTTGATTTTTACAAGTCATTTTAGCGCATTATTGCAATGTAAAGAGCAACTTACAGAGACGCTGTTGATGTCCGCAGGTCATCACTACTACTGATACAGTGCGCAGCGCTCTACCAGCGATGCTTTGAATTGCTTCATTACGTTAATTCTGTCAACTCAATTGCCGCTCATTTATCAGTGGGTTTTATTGACAGCTCACAGCTGATGGTTTTATTGGATAGCCTTGGAACGTCTTTCAAATGAGATTTGCGCAGTAGCAACAAACAAGTATTTGCGATAGGACACTGCGTAAACAGACGCCGCCTCCAAAACAAGCGAAGATGTTTTCTTGACAGATCATATTTTATTTATCAGCAGTCATTCTGAAATTACACGCATTCTTCAAAAGCAGAGCTGATACCACTGCCAGGCCATTTTCACTTCCAGTTTCCAAGCGCTCTAAAATCACATCTCCAAGAGGAAGGCGGAGACATAAACCTTAATCTCCCCTCCCACGGCGCCTTGCACCCCTCCCCAGTCCCCACTCATGGTGCAGACTGCGAACCAACGTGGCAACAGCGTCGTCCAGCGACATCCCCATGGTGCGCCACTTGCTCCCATCCGTCTCAGATGATTGATCTCAACTCTGCAGACGCTATCATCGCTCATCACTCACTCCGCACTGTGACACAAATGCCAAGCCTCGTCGGGAAGGCATCGGCACTGAAACGGCTCTGGGACACTCGGTTTGACCTTGCTCCAATCTACACAGCCGAGCACCGCAGAGGGCATCCTGAGGGCTGGTCGATGCTCGGTTTTCTTACAGCACTCAGCTTCCTTCAGAGTTTTGTGGTCAAGTAGCTCGTGGGCGCGTGATTTTAGAAATGTGTCAGCATAAGCACCTCGCGAGTAAACATCACGGGATGATATTTCACCAGTTTGATGGCCACATCAAGCTGAATCAAGACCTGCGCGAGCTGGGACTCTCAGGTGAAGAGCAGAACTCTGTCGGAGAGCTTTCGGCCCTGTGGATGAGTTGGGCGTGGGTGTGTTTTCGTTTGGATCTCAGCGCCTCCCTTCGCGTGTTCTCTGTTGTCCCCGGGTCGCCGGGTGAGTCGTATGATGTCACCAGCCGTGTGGGTGGGACCAGAGATAGATGGACATCTCGAGATTGCTTGCTCCCACACGCTGGATACCGATGAGGTGCACGCAACTTCTTGTCAACCACAATCTGTGATGTGGCGAGACTGGGATGTGGATGAGGGACGTCGGACTTCAGGCGTGCCATGTCAGAGACACGAACACAAAGTGATAAGCGATCATTATGTGAGAGAGGCCGTGGACGGATCTCGAAAAGAATATTTGGACGGTGTGTGGATCCGAATATATACTCCACAACCAAAGTCTCAAGTATAAAGAAAAGAGAAACACCTCGATTTTTGTTTTAAGTGCGCGCTTTTGTGCTGTTAATGTAAATCCTCTTATAGAAATTGCCTTCTTGTATGTGGTAAGACTACAAAATTGCGTCAATAGGCATGGAACGCGATGGAAGGATGCTCCTAATGCACCAAACACCCATTTGACTCACCAATCGAAACACCATACCTCATTTGACTCACCACAAGAAACACCATACCTCGTTTTAGTTTCATCCGACAAAAGCAAGCCATCCATTTTTATTTTCTGTTTTATAAAAGAATAACTGTCTAGTGGTGGTAAATGTGGCTTCGCCCATATCTACTAACCACAAATTTAGTCCAAATTAGCGAGCTCGCAGTGGAGTTGGCACCTCTTTATGGCACCTCGTGAGTCAGTAGTCGACTTGGCAAAGAGAACGCATTCTTTTGGTTCCTTTGATCTCATAGTTCAGCCCATTTGATGTAATTAATTGTTCCCTAGTAAACTTATCACCTTGAAACGCAGACAAGTGTTAACCCGCGTTCCGATGGGATAGTCCGTGCGGGGTAACGCGCATGAATGTCATACGTTCAAGCTATCTACAACTATTACTGGTTATTTTGTTGTGGGCAGCATAAAGCTGCCCGCAACTAAAGGTACACAACTCAGATTGCTAACTTCTCTCTCTCTCTCTCTCTCTCTCTCTCTCTCTCTCTCTCTCTCTCTCTCTCTCTCTCTCTCTCTCTCTCTCTCTCTCTCTCTCTCTCTCTCTCTCTCTCTCTCTCTCTCTCTCTCTCTCTCTCTCTCTCTCTCCCTCTCTCTTTCTCTCCCTCTCTCTCCCTTCCTCTCTATTTCTCTCTCTCTATCCCTCTCATTTCTCATCTCCTTTCCCCCATCTTTCCTCTTTCTAATTCTTCTTTGTTCCGCAGATCGTGGCCAACTCCTGGGGACGCCAGTGGGGCGAGGACGGCCTCTTCCGTATTGTCCGTGGCAAGAACGAGGCTGACATCGAAAGCTTCGTGGTCGGCTCGTGGGCCAAGCCGCGCCGCGGCGGACGCCGCCGTTCCCGCGGCTACGCCAGCTACCGGCGTAGTCGCCGCCACCACTCGCGTAGTGAGCGGGCACGCGCCAAGCGTCATCACACTGTCAAGGAGTAGGAAGAGGAAGGCGAGAGAGCTACCTCCAACAGGGGCCGTGAAGAAGAGAGTCGATCTGGCCCAGACACTTCTGTGACGCTGCGTGAAACGAGGTAGAACGAAGAAGCGAACAACTTTCCGGAAGTTAACAAGCCGGAAGTACACCGGAAGTGAACAACAAATTGACCGGAATTAGTCCGGAAGGAGGCCGGTAGCTGGTCAAAATTGAGCAGGAGTGGAGGAAAAATCTAGAATGAGAGATAATAATTTACTAAAACTGTTTCCCTCTGTTAGGTGCTAAAAAGCGGACGGTTATGCTGCATGAAATGTGATGGACGTTGTGCTGAGTGTAAGGCGGCTATTGCTTGACAGATGCTAGCTGATGCAAAAGCTGCTGAGAGGGTCACACAAGTATGACTATTGACTACTGGCATCAGGTGTGAATCCTTCCGTCAGATTGAATTAATCCACTCTACTTTTTCTCTTGCCAGCAGCATGTGTGAAGTGCATAACACCGCGTCCCATTTTTTTTTTTCAGCGAAAGTTGAAGAAAATGGGACGGAATCGTGAAACACTTCAGCTAGCTTACATGATTGATTGTTATCGGTAAATAACTCATCGGTTCACTCAAGGCGCATTATGGTCAATTGTGCGACAGTTAAAAATGACTCTTGAATTATTTTTACATCTCATGCCTCTATTGGATTTGTTATGAAAACGTAAATTTGTGTCTAATTTTCTGCTGATTTTTATTTCAAACTTGCCAGTACAGCAGACTGTCGCGCCATTGTCGCTTGAACAGGCCAGTGTGAATAGGCCCTTTGGGAAGTGTGATGGAACTGAAAGTGAAAGTGACTACGCGCATACCCGTCTGTTGAATGTCTTGAGATGCTTGGGCTGTATTTTTCTGTTGTTCCTGTTGTAGTCGAGTGTTTTTAATACGACCGCTTTATAACACCAAGTACTCAGCATAGTGGAGCTCTTGCTTTTTTAGAAATAGGCACGAGCTGAAAGGAGCTTTACGAAGTTAACACCTAGACCCCGGGCTTTAAAGCGGATGTCGCGAGAGATAGATCATTTATGTCTCTCACTTTAGAGAGCTGAGCGGATTTAGCATTCAAACTGACAGTTCTGTCAAAGTTAACGCCGTCTGTCAGTTTCAACGACGCATTGAGATAAACAGAGCTATGATTTTTCTAAAGTTATAGAAGTTTGTGAGTGGAATTTGTGAAAGCTAGGCAATAAAGGACAATAAGGAAGGGAGAGAGAGAGAGAGAGAGAGAGAGAGAGAGAGAGAGAGAGAGAGAGAGAGAGAGAGAGAGAGAGAGAGAGAGAGAGAGAGAGAGAGAGAGAGAGAGAGAGAGAGAGAGAGAGAGAGAGAGAGCGTGCTCCAGGTGCTTTGATACGTTTTCTATGTTACACCACTCGTCTTTAGCCCCCTCCCCTGTTGTTTTTTTCGTGTGCCTGCCTATTGTTATCCCTCACCTGAGTCTGGTAACCCTCTGCTGCTATACCTGCCGCTGTGCGGATTTCTCGAATGCCGACTCCGCCAGCTCTCCGTGAATAACGTGCCAAAATACACGGGACGCTCGAAGCCGGGCGGTGGCCCTCCTGACGCGGCCAGACGCCCAGTTGGCCCGACCCGGCCGGCATATGAAGGATGCGACCCGTGTCCCATTCTGCCCGTCGCGCTATGACAGGGACAGCGCCGCGGCTCTCGCCCGCGTCAAGGTCCGCCCTGTCATGAGCCAGATAGCGGCCGCGCCACGGTCGTCTCCGCTGCGCCGCGGTTGTCTCGCCGCTCAGCTGACGCGCTGTGTTTGCCCGCGGCGCGCTGCACTGCCAGGCGAGTTGTAACACTGCCATTACTGTTTAACCGTGTGCTTGGCCGGCCTGCGTGCTGATACAGGGACGACATGGCGGACAATAAAGCTCTTCTGTTGTGCCGACGTGCGTTGGATGTTTGTTTGGGCGAACAAGGTCTCTGGGGACGTGTAAGGGCACACTGGCCAGTGGGTATCATCTAGCCGGGTAGCTGACACTGGACAGTGGATAGCCCCAGCTGACGCTATGTGTCACCTTGGTAGGATGTCCGAGACCGAAACATTCAAAATTAGAGGTTCACGATGTGTCTTGAAAGGTCAGACTAATAACTATACGTGATTAAACATGGGCTACGATTGATATGACATTTGTGACGCTTTATTTTGCAATATCTACAATAAAATATGTTTTAGAGAGATTTGTCGATAGACATTCTCCTCAAGTGTTGTCCATAGATGAGGCATTGAGACATAGATACATTTTGCCTGAAGTTAATAGTAACGCCTTTATATGTAGAGGCGAATATAAACGGCGAGGCGAAAGTCGAATATTAGTAGACGGACAGGCAACTGGGCCGGACTCGGTGGGTTACAATCAGCTGGTGTCCTGAGCTAGACGGAAATACCGGGCTGACCATCTATGACGTCATTGGACCAACTGATCACGGCCGCCTGCCAAGCCATGAGCCGTGACAGCAGCCGGCGACCTACAGCGCGGTCACATACCTGTCCTCGACCCCGAGACTTGACTGACGTACTGCGAGACACACCGGGTTTATGGGCTGCTGCATGCTATTGTAGACATGCCAGGCCGGCAGACCTGCCTGGCCTGTCAATGCCTGCTGGTGGCACCAGACAGAACTGAAAATGAAATTATAAATCCGGGAAATGCAACAAAATGAGTGTAATTAACTTGCGTTGAGACCGTAGGTATCTTCGGTATTACGTAGTCATACGCAACTATAAATTTGTGTTTGATAAGTTCAACTGTAATTTCTTTATTGCACTGTAGACAGACTTCTCTAATATATGTAGAGAAGTCTGTGCACTGTATGTTTACTAGTACAAGTGAAAACTACCTACCCGTGAATAGAATGCGAAAACTTTGCTCGAGTTCCCGTTCTCCAAGTTCCTTCTTGGCGAAAAAACTACAGCTTCGCATAGCCCTTATTCATACTAAACAATGCCTTAACACGACCGCAGCTGGCTGCCCGCGCTAAAAATGTCTCCAAATCTAATCACCCTTCATTCGGGACAATCTTGACAAACAGCTATCAGTCAATGCACTTCATTTGACTCCGACCTACCACAACCATTGCATAAAACCGATCTGTTATTGCACCAGGCATCATTGTCCAGCCGTGAACCTACGACCTTGCAACTGCCGGCTGTTTTCGCGTCCTCAGGTCACGTGCGCGCGTGGCCGGCCCCCTGCTGATATCACGTGACAGTCGGCTGTGCAGGTGGACAGGAGTCACAACTCGTGCAGCGGAATAAAAACAACCGCAGGTGGTGCTAGTCTCAGGCGCATCAGGCATGGGATACAATGCAGCTGTCCCCTAACCCTATCTGTTGTAGATGAATCAGGCTCTGTGAATGCAAGCATCTTCTACTATAAGACGATTCCGTCAAGACAGCCCATATTCAGCAAAGCCCCCGGAGTCCCAGACATAGCCCGGATTTAGCCGCGAGAGTCGGAACACCTGAGACCGACTTGAAACTGGCATTCAAAGTTGGAGGGGAGGAAGTCATGTATTTGTGCCGAGTACACAATTCTCGCCATAACTGAGGAAAAAGTGGAAAATATGTCAGTAATTGTGTCAGTAATTACCAGCTCGTGGTGAAAACTAATACTATAGGTAGTAGCAAGGCCATATATAGGGGTAATAGGTATGTGCTACGGGTTTTTCGCGATTGCTGGGAATACAATTGCATCAACGATAAAGAGTGAAGGAGTGACATAACTGGCCTAATTCAGATTAAATCCTGCGGTACCGGTGGCGTTTCCAGGCCAGGTCAGGTCAGATTACATTCGATGTCAATAAGCTCGTTTGGGGTCATTTATACGTTTTCGTCAAAAATTTCCGATCAAATGATCTAGCGGGTTGTATCAATAGAGCTAACCCACTACTGGACACAAAAAGACCCGGAGAATCAGGCGGTATGCAAAATAACCTCTTTCTAGCAGAATCGTGACCTGATTGGCCTTTTACCTGACCTTGACCTGAGGTGAACACCCTAAGGTGACCTTTCCCAAACAAAAAGTCATTCGATGTATGCTTGATCACAAGCACGATGATGCCAAAATCACATTATATAAGTGGCGAAGTAATTTACGACAAAATGGGCCCTTGGGGCACAGCTGACCGCAAAGTTCACCGGTTGACCTGAGACTTTAAAATCGGGTACCAGTCGCTGCTTTTAGTGATTGCTCAGTCGCTTGTTTCCCCCCTGAAGCCTTACACGTAGCTCAAAAAGGGGCGAAACAACGAGAGATCCCACCAGCCTTACTCCCCGCGGCCCCGTCGCTTGAAGAAAACAGATAGATAGGTCCGTCGAGGATAAAATTCAACAACAAATGACAACAATGCTCTCAGATCAGGGCTCATAGATATATTTCAATTGAAAGTAAAAATGACCACAAAGAATGAAAATGATCAAAATGATCTGACGGAAGCCATAAAATGTTAACCCTCGCCCTGGCAGGGCATTTTTCATAACACGACCTGGCAGCTCGCGATTGGCTCCTATGGCACCTAGAAACCCCAAATTTGGTAGGTAGGTGGGCCCCCTGGAGTTCTCGCCCCTGTGCAAATTTGGTTGCTCTAGGTCAACATTTAGAGGGGTTTAGGGGGTATAAATGTAAAAATTTCGCTAAAAACAGGTCAAACGTCTTTCGCTTATAACTTTTGATCTAATTAAGATAGAGCAAAAAGAAAAGTACTAGTGAACTCAGCACGTCAAGGCGCGTCGAATGATATACTTTTTAGCTTGCTTAAGTGTACTTTAAGTTTTTCTTAAATTTTAAGTAAACTAAGTTTATAAATTAAGTTCAAGTTAACCAAATTGCATCATATCGCATATCATTCGATTCGGCTGATCACCAGGAACACATTGATACCATTTTTAAGCTCTAGCGTCATTATGTGCCAAGTTATTGGTAAAACCGTCATTTGACCTCAGTTGACCTCATTTGACCTGACCCATGGATAAGTACACCAAACAAAGGAGCACCAAGTGACCTGCTGTTAAGTACTGTGGTTTCAAAGCACAAAAAATATAGAACGAAGCGGATATCTCCAGTATTTTCCGAATTTAGTATTTTCTCATAGGCTTAACATTACGACGTAATGACCTCTAGGCTCTAACTGTCCTCAGGTCAGTGATCTCAAAAAACCCGAACTATATGTTATACAACTCGGTGAACTTAGCACATCCTGAAAGTTTGAAGGAAATCCGAGTCCAAAACTGTGAGTTGGACAGGTGCAAAAAGAAAATTGAAATTTGACCGTGACCTTGTACCGGTTTTTCTGACCTGGTGACCTGACCCAAGGTCACCCGGACCTGAAATTTTCAGGTCATATGTAAAAAGGTTGCCCCATAGGCTGTGCCAAATTTGGCGGCGCTGTGCGCCGCCGTTTTTACGCTTTCTGCGAAAAACCTTAGGGGGGGGGGTCGCATCGACCCCCCCCCCCTGCCAGGGCGAGGGTTAATGTTCTAGCCTTTTAGCATGATTTGGATGGGTGGATTCCCGCGGATATCGGAACCTACTCAGGGCGGAGCTGCTCCGCGGGTTCTGACCTCTATCGGACAGATGAGAAACTATTTGCACATATGCTACGGGAGCGATACTGCCGAACCGAAGCTGTAGGGACCGAAAATGGCCGCTGCCTCTGAACTTCCTCGGCTTATGATTGAAAACCCATGTTGAGTACTGCAACCTGGTCGATAAGCTATTACGGGACTGGCGAAATGATCGCCTGAAGACATAAATATTAAATACCTAATCATATACTTACACTATTTGGCAGTAATTTCCGAAAGAAACATCACGAATCAATGCTCTTCAGGAATGTTTCTCGACAGACTAGCACGCTCCCATGGGTGGAGCTTTTCCAGGGAAGTTGGTGGGGCATGAAGTCGTCAAACCTACTATGTCTGTTTGTTTTGTTAGATAAAGTGCAACACTGAATCAATTATTTTCATTGCAGAGATAAGATTATGCATTACACAGACATTTCGAAGCTCCTCATTGCGAAAAAAGGTTGGTTTGCTAAGCAACAAAGTCCTACAAATTTACAAAACTTGGTGGGGCAAAACGCTCATTGGTGGGGCAAAATGAAGTTGGTGGGGCAGCCGCCCCACCAACTGAATAGGAAGCTCCGCCCCTGCACGCTCCATTTAATGTCGAATCAGCACGTAGGTACAGGTCAAAACATGTAACAAATTTTATTTATTCGGGCGTTGCCTACAGCCTATCTACAAGAAAAGCAGGAACGACAAAAAACAGTACCTGCCTAAAAACATAGGTACCTACTTGTAGGTAGGTACCTATCTTACAGAAAATCCACCGCATATTCGGACATAACCCACAGTCCACGAGGCATCTAGGAAAGCATTAGTCATCAGTTTCAACTGATAATCTATAAATGCAGAAGCAAACACTAGCAAGTACACTGGCCGCCCAAGCTTCAAATGATGGAAGAAGAAACCAATGCTCAAACCTGTCAACCACTAAAAGGGATGATAGCTGGCCTGATAGTGGTGCGCTCAATGCTCACCACTCATTTATTTTTTTTATGTACTAAATATGGGCGTAGGAAAAGCGTTGAGGTAAACCCTATTAAAGAAAGGGTGGGATGATCCCCCGGGTGAACAGCACCCCTCACTCGGCCATTGCAGAGCATTAGTGGTCTGGCGCATGATTGCAGGTCGTATATAGCACTACATCTACTGACAAAAACACACATCTGTAGTTCACTTCATCGCCCCCAGACGGCAGCAGCGAGCACTGTCAGGAGGGCTGCGACCGAGGCTGTCGCCGTAGTCGCGCCGTTGCGGTCCTCCGCAGCCGCGTCGACGGGTCCCTCGTTGTCTTCAGATGCGGCAGGACTGAACGAAATGGCTGGCTTGGGACACTCGAGCTTCCTGCGCACCCGGAGCTTGCCCAGACGACCGTAGACGAACTGGAAGCGGCATCCCCCGTCGGTGAGGAACGCGCAGATCCGCTCGTCGGGGTCGGACACTGCGGGAAAAGGGAGAAATAATCCAGTCAGTCACTGAAATAATGGATCAGTCATTGGGCTATTGATGCGGTTGACTTATCTGTCTATTCAGTCAGATAAGTACCTACAAATGCCCCCGCTCCGCAGAACGCCTAGTCCGAGATGGGAGCTCGAACTTTGGAAGCATGAGTAAAAACATAACCGCACCTTAGAAGAGTCAGACATTTCGTTTTTCTCACAGACAATGACAATAGGTACAAAAACAATGTAATAAGACCAGACGTTTCGACAACAAAGTGCCTTTGTCAGTGGAAAAACAAGATATAGGCTTTACATCGATAAATGTCACCGACGAAATGAACTGCCCTGTTGTTCTTCTCTTTCGTTTTACATTTGACAGCCACGCGTGATCTATCGCAGTACTGGTCATGCCCTGTGAGCCTGGACCAGCTCCTGTGTTAGTTTCTCGTCTTATGTTCTAATTGCCTACCATTTGTCACTCGCGCTATCGCTTCACACTTGTCGGCTGTTCGTGCTCGCCGCGCACCGTATCGTATAACCGAACGTGCCGCGCGAGCCTGCTCAGACTTTTCTCACCAGTTTCCAGTGTCGCTTTCTGAGTGCTTTTAGATGTACAACCTAATTGTTTTCTTTGTGCCCGCGGCGGCTCCTCGAGTCGCTGCGGGCAGTCTCCACTTGAACGCCACCGGGTACAGTCCTCGGTGGCGGTGCGCGGCTCCGCCGGCGCCCCGATGTGCGCCGGTGTAGTGAACCCGTGACGGAATCGTGCGCGATTCCGACGGCACCCCCAGCGGGTTGCCAACGTGAACAGTGACGGAGTCGTGCCACCGAGCACGATTCCGAGGGCACCCCCGTTCGTGTGCCCAGTGAACGCCACTGAGCCCAGCTCAGTGGCAGTGCGCGAATTCGCCGGCGCCCCGACGAGCGCCGGCGTATTGCAGTGCAGTGAACGGCTCTGACGGCGCCCCGTCCGCGGCGGCGCCGATGTGTCATCTGAACTCTTAACAGTGAACTTCATCGACAGTGCTCACTGTGTTTTTCTCTGGTCCACCTGTCTACTCTGCGCTCCTCATTTCACCCTCGTCTACCGTTCGTCATCATCTATCGTCCGGATTTCTTCAATACATTCTTCAAAATTCATCGAAGTTTTTCCTCCGCTACAATAAATGTCCCGGCCCCCATCAGAGGCTCGTCAGGGTCGGCGACATTTAATGGTCCTCCGGGCCGGATCAGGCCAGAAGAAATCAGAAGCGGAGGAAACTTCATCGAAAATGGAAAAACAAGAAGGGAGACCGCAAAGTGAAGGCGCTGTCGGCGGAGTTCCTGTGACGATAGAAACTGAAGAAACCATGGAGGTTTCGACGCTGCAGCAGCCGCGCCCTGAGGTGAGTTCCAGTTCGTCAGCATCCCGCGCATCCGCTGAGGCTCAGCTCACGGCGCGAAAAAGGGCTCTGCATGTGAAACAGTTGGAAAAACGACTGGAGATGGAGCGACAGGAAGCGGAGCGAAAGCAGCAACAAGAAGAGAAGTTGAGGCGGCAGCAAGAGGAGTTGAAGCGTCATGAAGATGAAGTGAGAAGACGACGTGAGCTGCAAATCGCAAAAGATGAAATGGAACAAGCTGCACTAGAGGCACAATGGCGACAGCAGATGAATGATCGACGAAACGCCGGCAGAAGGGACGACTTCATGAAAGCTGAACGGGAAGGACAGCGAACGGTTACTACGAGACTCCCGCAGTCCGAAATATCATTCCACTGTCCTCTCCCTCTCCCTGCTAGCCCCGTCCCAGCTAGCCCTCAGATCAGCAGACCATCGTGGATCGACGAGTTACCCAAAGATAGGATACCGGCGTCAGAAAGTGTCCAGAAGTTGAAAGTTACGGACAGCCAGAAAGTGACAACCAGATGGATCTCCATCGCTACTGCCCAGGTACTTGGCATCTCATTCGACAACCAGCTACCCGCTGGGCCAGACCTGCTGAGCTCGGAAAAAGAACTCGCTAGCAACAAGAACCTGAAAGAGGTGACTCAAGAATCCTGCTCGAAAGAAGGACGCCTCCGAAAAGTGAACCCAGGTGAAACAGCTGAAGCAGCAAAATCCCTGCAGCATCCCTCAGCCAGAAAACCGAGCGAAGACCCGGAAATCCAGGTGATCTCCGACTCCGACGCTGCTGCCCAGGTGCTTGGCGCCTCGTGCAACAATCGACCACTCGCTGAGTCAGACATGCGGAAAAGTCAAACTGACGTCCCGCAACGATTCCAGGAAAGGGCTGTGGCCTGCGTAGCGGATATCCAGGAGACGGCTGATCAGAAACAGTTCATCCGACAAGAAAGAACGGCTCAAAACCGCCTCTCGCCTGACCTGAACGACGGACAAAAATCAGACCAGAACGAGAAGGAAGAAAACGTCTTCAAAACCGAATCGTGGCTGGCGTCCGCTGACCTTGTGCCGCAGAAAACAGTCACCGATCATGATGCAGATGCACAAGTCAAACTGAAGACAGAGACCACGAAAGCGCGACACGGCAGTGTCTGTATGGACGACGCCCATCAACCAGAACGAACCGTGTCAGAGGCCGCCAGAGCAGTAAGAAGAGATGGTCCCGATCTGCTCACAAAGGAAAACTTACGGCTCGAAAACCAGATGAACAACACGAGTGAAGTGCAAAGCAGCACACCATATGTGAGACAAGCACACCCCGATGCGGACTACGATGACACCTATCTCCCTGCGGAAGGAGCTCTGGGTGCTGTCTGGGACGAAGAGCGAGACTCGCCGAGTGCCCAGTTCCGAGACAGTAAGAAGCAGACGACCAGACGAGGAGCGCTCAGGAGAACTGCGGTTATCTTCGACCCCGTGAGGATCGCCGCTCCGTATCGGATCACGGTGCAGATCCTCAAGGAGAAACTGGATGCTACGACACATCCGGAGCCGATGGAAGAAAGAAAAAAATCCCAAAACCTGGCACATCGAAAGGACTCTGGTCCCTGGTTCGAGAACAGAGCTCCTGCCAGGACCGGACAGACGAGTGCGCGCTGTACGACTCGTCACTGCGAATGGAGCGACCCACACACGGCCGGTCACGTGGTCGCTGTCCTAGAAGAAGCAGCTCAGCTGTAGTGAACGGGTTTGTCGCCACATCATTCCCACATCCTGACAGCTGTACTTCGACCGTACTCCCACTGACCCACTGAGCCTGGCCTATAGACCATTTCTGAAACTTCATCTCGCCCTCCGTCCCGTGGAGCAGACACCAAACTCGCCGAGATTTATGTCTTTTCCCGTGTCCCCCTCTAGCCCGGCTCGCCACATGGACCGCTTTCCCCTCCCCCGTCCGCGCAGCCGGCCATTAGGCACGAGTGACATCTGGAGGTGGGGGAGCTCAGCTGAGTGGCGCGTGCCGCGCTGCCGGTTGACACTGACCTTGAGTACCGAGGGAAACTGAGGCGACGAAGGACCCTGCTGACCTACTGAGAGCAGCGACCGATCAGCTGACTGCTGGAAGGACAGCACATCAGCTATTCTGGAGAACGACAACCGAAACCGGCAACAGCCGTGTGAACACTCGCGTTGCGTTTCTGGTGTAGCCGAACACTGCGCACCGGAGACTGGCGTCAGAAGTGACAAAGTGACGCGACCAGTGGACTAATGTGCAGATGACCAGGGACGAGGTCTAGCGCAATGAACGATTGTGAAGGTGCCGAAAGTGTTTGCATTCGTTATGATTTAGTACTAAGTGATATAGGTAGTGTACCATAAATCTGTATAGGTGCTTGTGTAGTTTAGGAAGAACTCGCGAGAACCTGCGTAGCGAAGTCGTGAATCTCGTGGATGTACAGAATGTTCCGTCGGTGTTCAGTGGTTGTGTGATCTCCCGTCTTAAGTCGATCACAGGGGAGGAGTGTGTCACCGACGAAATGAACTGCCCTGTTGTTCTTCTCTTTCGTTTTACATTTGACAGCCACGCGTGATCTATCGCAGTACTGGTCATGCCCCGTGAGCCTGGACCAGCTCTTGTGTTAGTTTCTCGTCTCAAGTTCTAATTGCCTACAATTTGTCACTCGCGCTATCGCTTCACACTTGACGGCTGTTCGTGCTCGCCGCCGCCGTATCGTATAACCGAACGTGCCGCGCGAGCCTGCTCTGGCTCTTCTCACAGGTTTCTCGTTTCATATTCTAATTGCTTTTAGATGTACGACTGATTGTTCTTTGTGCCCGCGGCGGCTCCTCGAGTCGCTGCGGGCAGTCACCACTTGAACGCCACCGGGTACAGTCCTCGGTGGCGGTGCGCGGCTCCGCCGGCGCCCCGATGTGCGCCGGTGTAGTGAACCCGTGACGGAATCGTGCACCGCGCACGATTCCGACGGCACCCCCCGCGGGTTGCCAACGTGAACAGTGACGGAGTCGTGCCACCGAGCACGATTCCGAGGGCACCCCCGTTCGTGTGCCCAGTGAACGCCACTGAGCCCAGCTCAGTGGCAGTGCGCGAATTCGCCGGCGCCCCGACGAGCGCCGGCGTATTGCAGTGCAGTGAACGGCTCTGACGGCGCCCCGTCCGCGGCGGCGCCGATGTGTCATCTGAACTCTGAACAGTGAACTTCATCGACAGTGCTCATTGTGTTTTTCTCTGGTCTACCTGTCTACTCTGCGTTCTTCAATTCACCCTCGTCTACCGTTCGTCATCGTCTATCGTCCGGATTTCTTCAATACATTCTTCAAAATTCATCGAAGTTTTTCCTCCGCTACAATAAATGTCCCGGCCCCCATCAGAGGCTCGTCAGGGTCGGCGACAGTAAAAAATATAGAAGCCGTGGAAACGTTCTATATTTTTTATCGATGTAAAGCCTATATCTTGTTTTTCCACTGACGAAGGCACTTTGTTGTCGGAACGTCTGGTCTTATTACATTGTTTTTGTACCTATTGTCATTGTCTGTGAGACATAACCGCACCTTCTATATCACGCTTTACACCTAGTCATATTACATTATACGTACTAGAAGCTGTTGCTGTCATACGATGATACTGTGATGCTAGCCACTCATACCTAATACCCATTCATATACCTAAGGTATAATAGGTATAATAAATACAAAGCAGGGCCATGATAATCACGATTCACGACTAACCTAGCCGCAACCCCATGTGATGAAATACCTAGCTACCTAGCGACTCATGATCAAGTGCCGGAGTCAGCGTCACAGCATTATCCCGTTCTGCCATCTCAACACAACATCGCGTGATTACCGTTCATTTCACGGTCACCTACCGTCGGGGTCGTCCTCTTTTTCGACAGACACCTGACCGCAGGCGGTCTCACACTGGCTGGCCAGGGGACCCGTTCCGAAGGCCAGACACTCGGCACAGAAGCGGTACGTGTCGCATTTGGACCGGCAAGTCTGCGGGAGCGTTGAGAGCAGTGGTCAGCATAGGCCCGAGTGCGGTGCAAATACGTGCGCTCATTGCACAGGTTATGAAAATGAAAGAAACGACAATAAAAATGGACGTGGAAACGTTAGAAAAATGAAATAGGTACGTTTGGTGATGAAATAGGTAAAAAGCATAACTTTTCATTTTTCTACATTGCAACAAAATATACTGCAGTAACGAAAACATCTTTTTAATTTCAACACCTTAAAAAAGATACAATTTAAAAGCAATCTTTAGTGTTGTACTGTTGTAGAGCTACAACGCGTTCACAACACCAGCGTGGATCAAACCAAACCCGCGCAGGACATTCTCACCGGGCACGTTTCGCAGTATCTGCCGCTGTAGGCCTCTCCTTCGTGTCGGTAGCAGCGGCATTCGCCACATTCGCAGCTACCCTTACCGCTGCAGATCCGGTCGCTGCCTGCAGGAAGAAAAGATTGAGTGTGTAAAACTGTGTATAGACGTTGTAAGGAAAGAAAGATTAAAAACAGCGTCTGGGCTGGAGAATAAACTGGCTAGAGGCTCATGCTTTGTTTCAAGTAAGCTTTAACGTAATGCAATTTATTTGTATCAATGAGAGCTTTACAACCGTGCGGGACAGATGATATATTAGTGATTTTTTACCCATAAATAGAACTAGCCGGTGAAATTAGAATTAAATGATCTAAGTACTAAGGAGCATATTCAATCCTCGGGTTTAATATTCAGGTAACGGCTCTACGATCAATCCACCAGGCCTATAGGAATGAGCAATTTTGCACACCGAGCGACTCCGCACTTTACCTGGCTCTTTGCACGAAGCTGTCGATGACGGACAGTCGCAGGCGAACCCCTGCCAGCCGGGATGGCAGGCGCACGTTCCACAGGCACACCGACCTCGGTTGGGGCCTCCGCATATCAGTTTGTCGACCCGTGGACACGACCGCTCGTCACACTCACAGAACCGACCCTTGATGTACTGTCACAGAAGGGGAACATTGCAGGAGATGTTACATTCGTGGTGATGTATGTTTGTAAATCGCAACATTACGCGGCACGCGCTTGGAGTAAGAAAATGAAATCGGCACTCAACACATGCTTGAAGAACTGGTCGCTAAGCATATGATAGCAGACAATACATAGCCATTATAAGGCAGAGGCAAATGACTGAGACACTATGCGTTTACTGTATTTCTTGTATAATGTAAATATAAACGTCAAAATATTAGCTGTTTTCACGACGGGTTATCTTGCAAATGCACCTAATTTGACCGAATCTGCACCAGATCTCTTTTACAATAACTATCTTCATATCATGAACTTGTTCGAGTCTTTTAACCCGCGCCCCGTGGGGGGGGGGCCGAAACGGCCCCCCTGTCCTTTTCGGTCGATATCTCCTAAACGGCTGGAGATATCGCCACCAAACTTTCAGAACCCCTCCGGGCATCAATTTTACACATTGTGACCAAAAATTTTCCAGAAGCTATGATAGGTTGGCCACAAATGACGTCAGAGTGACGTCATGTTCTGTCATTTTCGACCGAAAAAAGACCTTCGCGAGAAGACCTGTCAGGACTACAGCTTTGAAGAAACAGAAAAATGATAAAAAAAGGTGTAAAATTGACAGGGCTACAAAACTGCTATCTCGAATTTTTGAAATTTTAGAGTTTTGGCCCCCAAAAATCAAAAAAGCATTTTTTGGATATATTTGCCAAAAAATCCAAAAAGTTTTTTGAGTTTCGAAAAAACCGGAATATATGTGATAGTGCCTACCGTCTTCTATCTACATACTAAATTTCAGATCGATACCTCGTTTTTTGGCCAAGTTATAGCGAAAAAACTGTTCAAAAATGATGACGTCAAATTTTCAAACTCAATTTTTGGCAATTCTAGAGCTCGTAGAGCAAAACGAAGACCATCATTAGACTCCCCGTGACGAGCTGCATCGAATCGATGCCCATTTTATGCAAAAATATCAACTTTGAAATTTGACCTAATTTGACCTGACCTTGACCTGACCTTCACCAAAACGTGACCTAGGCTGGCCCCAAAGGCTGCCTAACCCACATAATCGCATTTGTCATGTAAAATGGACCATAAAACATGTATCACACGACACATTCATATTGTGACCCCCGGTGACCTGACCTCGCTGTGACCTGACCTGGTATCAGTGACCTCAGATAGCAAAGTATGTGTTTGACGAACAATGTACCATCGATGGTTTTCAATAAATTACCAATTTACTCGCTTTCACAGCACATTTCTTGAATTGCCTGTGAACGGTGAAAATCTGACCTTTGACCTGACCTGTGACGTCATCGGTTTGACCTAGGTCAATGAAATTTGGTCACAAGGTAGTTCCCGGGTGGGGCTATCGAACGCCGTTTGAATTTTGAAAATCGGCCGGTAACTTTCCGAGATCTTAGGGGGGGGGGCGAAACGGCCCCCCCCCCCTACGGTTGGTAGGGTCCGCCGGTAGCCCTACGGGGCGCGGGTTAAATAAAAAATAAAGCCAGATAATTTGACAAATGAGGCATATAAGCATCCGTGCAGCCAAAACTGACAATTGTCAGAAACACACTAAACCTAATTTGACCAAATCTACACCAATTCTACCCCAGTAATCTGCACCAAATGCGTCATATATGGCCGTCGTGAAAACGGCTATTGTCTATTGAACGCAACAAATCCGACAGCCGTATGTATATAAAAAACCTTCAGACTTTTCCCTACTAACCATAGTGTCGCAGTGACACTCCCCACAGACGCATTCGCCCCGGTCGGAACAGATGGGAGAGCCGGCCGACGACCTGCACATGTCCTCGCTGGTGCCCTCGGGGCAGGAGTCCTGCGCGGAGACGGGCGACAGGACGTGCAGCAGGAAGACCACCGATACCAGCAGCAGGAGGGGGGACGACATCGCCGACCACCTGAAACAGAGGACAGGGCCGGCTCGTGATCGGGATGATTATGTATGTTGTTACCTTTCAGCGGGAACTCGTCTGTAAAGGTAAAGTGAAAGCTTGTGTGGAAAGCCTCACATGTTTTTCTCACAGACAATGACAATACAAAAACAATGTAATAACACCGCCATGTCATTGTCTGTGAGAAAAACAAAATGTCTGACTCTTCTAAAGCCTCACATACACCCACCATGCATATGAAGGTACTGTGAATGAAAAAAACATCTGTCGCTAATATTTATTTGCAAGATCTTCAGTCGTAATTATAAACATGTAAAATGCGAATGATATTGTCGGCTCGGTATACCTATGAACCTTACATTCTCGGGCCTCGGCCCAAAGAGGTAAACCGTTATCTCCATTTATACAATTGTGCCTTGTTCTTGCGCCATTTTTTTCTGCATTTTCGTCATTCCTCACGTTCTGGCGCTGTTCCACAGGTGGCCATGAGATTCACCTCAGTGGTCCGTCTGTTTTTGGCGCGACGCGAGACTAGAGCACCAACTGGCCGGCAGAAAGGGCGCGTGCGCGCGCTCCTGCCCGCCAAATGAAACAGCGGTGAGCGCCAGTCACAACTGGGCCAGCTGTCATTAACCCGCGACCGCCTGGGGGGGGGTCGGATCCGACCCCCCCCCCTCCGTTTTTCTTGAATAACTCATGAACCACTTTCGCTATCTACTTGAAACTTGGCATACCTTCTCCCCTACCAATTTGACGTCTCCTGTGCAATTTTTAAGAAAAAATTTCAAAAAAAAATTGAGATATATCGATTTTAGTGATGTAACTGCATGGCGTTTTTAGTCAAAAAGTGATAAATGTTTAAAAAATCGCCAAAAATCAGGGTTTAAAGCAAATTGCAAATTAAGGACATGAAAAGACGCAGCTCAACGAGTTCTTTAAAATGGCTATCTCGGATTTTCCATAAAATGCGTTTTTCACCCCTAAAAATTCAAAAAACTATATTTTTTGGAAAACAGCTAATAAAATCCAAAATTTTGGGAATTTCCAAAAAACCGGAGTATATGTTGTAGAGCTCTATTAGAACATTAGATGCCCCAAATTTCAACTTTCTATCTTGATTTTTGACCCCCAAATTGTAAAAAATAGCTCCAACATGCATAGGGCATGGTGACGTCATAAGCATTTTCGTGAATTAGAGGCACTTCTGAACATCGCATGTGAAAACAAATGGCACCACTAGATTCCTGGGACAAAGCTCGTCTAGAAAAGTGCATTTTTATGTCAAAAATAAAAAGTTGAAAAATTGACCTTTTTTCTCAGCCCTCGTATAGTATAAACGATTTTTTATGCTTTCAATGCACACTTATCACCAGCACAGTGACTTGGGGTCACATATAACCATTACCATCGGATTCGGCGTGAAAAATAAGCCATAAAACATGTGTCGCACGCCCATGTAGCAGAAATTGAAAACCGTGACCTTTCGTGACCTGACCTGACCTTGACCCGTACTTAGTATGACCCCTATACGCACATGGTACCTTCACTAGGCCTTTGAGGTCATTTTTGGTGAGTTTCGAGCAGCAGCTATCGATTCCGCTGTCCGTAAGCCTAATCTTGCAAAACCCCTGAATTTGACCTTTGACCTGACCTTGACCCGAAAGTTGACCTCAATCTTAAAATCTTAAGAGTGCTTTGGGAAGGTCTCGTAGAGACCTTTAGAACGCCGCCTCGCGGGGCTCGATACGACCATTGGTTCTCGAGATAACAGGGGGGGGGGGGGTCGGATCCGACCCCCCCCAGGCTGTCGTGGGTACGGAAATAGCCCAGGCGGTGCCGGGTTAATGTCGATCGCATTGATGTTAATGACATTGATATCGATGAAGAGATCATACGGATCTTTTACGATGTCACTATATACCTACTGTAAGCTCAAACTTACGTAAAATGAATGGATCCAGACGGAAAGAGAGACAATAGAGGCAGAGACAGAGGCAGAGGCAGAGGCAGAGGCAGAGGCAGAGAGGGAGAGAGAGAGAGAGAGAGAGAGAGAGAGAGAGAGAGAGAGAGAGAGAGAGAGAGAGAGAGAGAGAGAGAGAGAGAGAGAGAGAGAGAGAGAGAGAGAGAGACAGACAGAGAGACAGAGAGACAGACAGACAGAGAGACAGACAGACAGACAGACAGACAGACGGACAGACGGACAGACGGACAGACGGACAGACGGACAGACGGACAGACGGACAGACAGACAGACAGACAGACAGACAGACAGACAGACAGACAGACAGACAGACAGACAGACAGACAGACAGACAGACAGACAGACAGACAGAGGCAGAGGCAGAGTCAGAGGCCGAGACAGAGTCAGATGCAGAGACAGAGACGGAGACGGAGACGAATTCAGAGACGGTTTGACCACATGAACGTGAATAAATGTGACGTCAACGGCACACTCGGAGTCGACCTGATCGTTTATTCGCTCACAAACTGTTACGGCGGAGAAAGCAAGCAAACAAATCTTGGTGTGTAGTTTGCACGCGACCATTCTAGGTCATGTCAATTGTTTATTCAGTCGGCCTGTTTTAAAAGTGTCAGTCAGTGTCAGTACGTGTCAACAGCGGTGTCGGTGTCAGTGCGCTGCGCTGTGTCAGTGTCTGAAGCGCAGCTCTAGTGTCAGAGCCAGAAATTGCTGCTGCGTCAGTATCGATAGCGGATATAATGAATGTTAGGCGTTAGCTAGCGTCATGGCCAGCACAGCACTCGAAATTTCTCAGGGTAGCTGTCACTGCATGCCCGTCACCCCACAGGTGTGTTCATGTCTGCACCTCACAAGTGTGTCCCTGTATTTCATTTACCCCACAGTATATCGCTGTATGTCAGTCACCCCACAGCTAGTGTCATCGTGTGTCAGTCACCCCACAGTGTGACGCTGTGTGTCAGTCACTCCGCAGTATATCGCTGTATGTCAGTCACCCCACCACAGCTAGTGTCACCGTATGTCAGTCACCCCACAGCTAGTGTCACCGTATGTCAGTCACCCCACAGTATATCGCTGTATGTCAGTCACCCCACCACAGCTAGTGTCACCGTGTGTCAGTCACCCCACAGTATATCGCTGTGTGTCAGTCACCCCACCACAGCTAGTGTCATCGTGTGTCAGTCACCCCACAGTATATCGCTGTGTGTCAGTCACCCCACAGTATATCGCTGTATGTCAGTCACCCCACCACAGCTAGTGTCACCGTGTGTCAGTCACCCCACAGTGTCGCTGTATGTCAGTCACCCCACAGCTAGTGTCCCCGGTCCGTCGCCGTGTATACATGTCTGTCACCAACCGGTGCCCTCCAAATAGGGGTGCGCCGGTGACAGATCACCGTGATCTCAGAGCTCGGCAATGTTGCATGCACTGCAAAAGTGCGCTGCAAGATAGAGCTGACAGTTTCGCGAGCTTAGAAGCCCGCATTTGCTTAGTCGGCGGTTCAAATTAGCCTCTCAAAGGCGAGAAATTCATTTAAAGGCGTTGATTCACGCTTCAGGATTGCAATGATAATTGATATACGAAATGCTTGTTCAAGTCATCAGCGAACGATATTGCCTCTTACTTCACCTTCAAAGTATAGGTACCAAGTTATTGTTGAAAAAATAGACTCCTCCACAAGCGAGCTTACACATAGCCAGCAGAACTAATAGGCATCATTTAATTTTCGTTGATAAAAGCGAACAATGAACAGCCTTCCATTGATATGCCATATTCCCAGTGAAAAAGCACCAATGTGTTTATTTTTGAAAGTAAAAGGAGCGAAGTAACACATTTTTTTACATTCTACGATACATAAAGCGACTCACGTTTCACTTTTTGGCATGGCAAGACAACAATGAATAAATAACCTTTCATTCTTCTCCTAAATCTCACCTTGTCGCTAACATCCCTGGGAGGCTTGTAGTGTGTTTGAAGGCCTGGCCTTCAGTCCTGTCTTCTCCAGTCACGACGCAAACACTAAACAGAACCCGTTCGATCAGACTCAGTCAAACCTTTTCGAAACTAAGACTCCTCAGTCCGCGGTATAAGTTCACAAGTCAACGGACTCGACGGCAGCCGATGCCCACTCCTGTCGGTTCGACGCAGACTAGCCGGCCTTCTTGGCTCAGCGCCGCTCCCCCTCCCCCCCCCGGAGAGGGTGTGTGCTCGCCGTTCGGGGCGGAGTCACCAGCATCTCAAGGCTACGACTGTCGGAGGGATGGAGTGGCTGCTTTTAGTTACGAACGGGACCAGCATATGCCCGGAGTGTCGTGCGAGTGAAGGTCGACATTGGGTGATAGTTGATACAGAAAGCTGCTGGAGTAACGCTGCGGGAGAAACGGCGGTACTATTCAAAAAGATTCTTAGACCAGTAAAACGCCTTTTGAGCGAAGAACGAGCGAGCGAGATGGTGAGCCCTCTGCACGTGCGGAAGGGCGAGAGGGTACTTCCAACGGGCTTGTGCAAAGCACCCTTCTAACCGGTCGTTAGCGGTGTGCCAAATTTGAACGCAATCGGCCCAGCCGTTCCTGAGATCTGGAAGCGGCATTCCGCACATGCGCACGTTCAAACGGGGTCCAAACTGACTTTTACACGGCACTCTACTAACTGGTCCCCAACCGTGTACCAAATTTGAGGGCAATCGGCCCAGCCGTTCTCGAGATCTGGGAGCGCCCCCTGCACGTGCGCACGTGCAGTAGCACCCTAACCGCAACACATGGGAATGCATTGCCTGGTGGGTGCCTACCTGTATGCCAAGTTTTAGCGAAATTGCCCCAGTAATTACCGAGTTATTGAAATGGGAGCAGATTTGGCACTTATTCTTTTTGCATTTTGCACGTGCAGTGGGGGTCACTCACATAGATCAAGAGTATTCGACCTTTGGTAGAAGGGATGCAGCTACCCTACAAAAATTACCGCAAGACAATCGCCCAAGCGGCTGCTGAGATATGGGCCTCTCAAAATCACTACTTTTGCAAAACCGCTTAACCCTATTCCTGGCGGGGGGCCTCAGGAGCCCCCCCCCTTGAGGTTTTTTGGTTATTTCTCCCAAACGCGTTGAGCTAGGAAGCTCAAATTTTCTGACTTTTCCTAAAAGGCTTCTACGCAACATGTCTGAAAATTTTGAGTTTATCTGACCTCAGGTCCGGTCACCAGAGGCGGTTTGGTGACCCTACCTCAGAAAAGTTTGCAATCACGCCAGAGCTAGAGTTTTTGACCGATCAATTTCTTCTCTTCAGGCTTTAGTTAGGGTACCAGTATGTGCAATTTGTCTATCTCGGAATTTTGATATCGGTGACCTAAGGTCAGGTCAGTTTCGCGACCTCCCCATTATAAGTCAATGGGGGAAAATCAACTCCCTGTTTTTACCACTAAAACGGGTCGGAATGGCCCCATATACCATACATGACTTCATATACGATCAACCTTCACTACCTTGAGGTCTGTTTTGCTGTTGGGCAGCTGTGAGGTCATGTGACGTCATCAAAGGTTACCAAAGGTTTTTGGCCAATAACTCCGTACAGGAACAAGATACAGACGCGTGGATGGTCTCATTGTGTTCAGCTCGTCAAGACGCATCGAATGATATACATGATGACCTCGAGGTCACGTGACCTGAGGTCAACCTTTGACCTTGACCTTTCGAGGTCAACATATATATCATTCGATGCGGATTGACGAGAGGATCACGATGATGCCCTTAGTTTGTTCCTATCTTGACTAATTCGAAAGTTATTCGAGAAAAACTCTCTCCATATCTAGCGCCGCCATTTTGACTTTTTCGACCCCTGTGACGTCATCTTTGACCTGACCTGAAAATGACCTTTGTAAAAATTGTAGATCTTGACCGTGCGTATCCGATGCCGTTTACCGTTTGTCGCTGCGATGTGTAGTTTTTTAGATCTGAAGGGGGGGCCGAATCGGCCCCCCCCCCCGCCAGTTTCTTGTCCCGGCGGAGCCCGCCAGGAATAGGGTTAAACACCCTTGACTTTTCATGTGGCACGTGCCACGCCGGTCACTGAAATGTATCAAAAGTAGTCAATTACGGGATAGAAGGGATGGGGCTACCCAGCAAAAAAGACCGCAGGCCAATCGGTCCAGCGGTTGCTGAGATATAAGCCTCTCAAAAGCGTTACAGGCCGGGCCGGGCCGGGCCGCTCATACTGAGATTTTTCCGTTATATTGAAAAGACTCGCTTCGCTCGCTGCGCTCGCTCGCTCGTAATAAAAAGTCAAGCCTAGCAAAAGCTCTCTTTATAGCTTTTTTCAATGGGAGAAAGAGACAAATTTTGTCAATTTCAGGCGTTGTGGGAAGGACAGATGTCATTGGTCCAGCATTGGTCCGCTATTGAAAATCGTAGCCCTCATGTTTTGTTTCGTTTTTTACCACTTCTTTATGACTGCTTCTGTGTTTCCTGTTCACTGACTATGCTTCCGAAAGAGAATGCATTTGGTCAGTTGAATAAATTTGACAAGGTCTGAGGAGACTTCCAGCCCGGACGAAGTGGACGATCCTGGGCCGGGAGGGATTGCCCTTCTGCCTCGTGTGGTTACCTTCGGGAAAAAAAGACTATTGGAGCTTTTTGTTTGTTATTAGCCGTTTTTACGACGGGCTATCCGGCGAATGCACCTGATTTGACTATGCATCTGCACCTGATTTCTTTTACAGCAAATATCTTCATTTTATGAATTTATTTCAGTGTTTTAATCGATGACTCTGATGATATGACAAAGCATGCATATAAGCAATTAGTGCAACCCTAGATGATAGCTGCTAAGAAACACACTGAACCTGATTTGACCAAATTTGCACCTAATCTGTACCAGATGTGCACCAAATGTGTACCAGGTGGCCGTCGTGAAAACGGCTATCGTCGCTCGTCCAGCATTGGTTACAACGTGAAAGGTGCACATAATTCAGCGAGGGTTCGATACAAAGCTTCTTACGGAAATGTCCACATTAAACACCGCTTTACCAAAGTTGTATGAGAAAATTCGTCTTTCCGATACGGCCAGGCCATGGCTATGCCCCAAATCCAGCGGTCAGTTATATACGTGGCAACATCGCCACATCCCCCTGCCGATATCGCCCCCGGCGGCAGGCCGATGAAAACAACAACCACATCCCCGGCCAGCGGGTGTAGGAGGAGGGAGGGTCATTCCTCTGCTCCGCATCCACCTTTATCTGCTGTAACGACGGGCGAGGGATGAATGTCGTGGTGGGGTCCTCGCAAACAACAGCAGGTAGGGACCCGGCGCGCCGGGTCCCTACCGGCGCCGGGTCCCCGCGGCGCCGGGAGAACACAGGCAGACGCAGGGGCGCGACCAGCAGCCGGTCGAGGAGACTGAGCCCCCGTCCCGGACCGGAGAGACCTGACGCCGCCCCTGCGAACGATATCACTACCCTCATCTTCAGCTATCATCTGGCCAGCCGACTCTGTTTGCTTGGCGCCGCCCTCCCCTGGAGGGGAAGAGACACCTCCTCCACACGTCAGTCATGGCAGGCCAGCGCAAGGAGGGACCATCATCGGGTCGAGTCAGCGGCATCTCTCACACCCCCGTTCTGTTGGACGATCGAATCAAACTTCGATCTGAGGTCGGTGACCTGTTCTGGTCTTGATCTGTTTTGATCTGTGAGTTTCGATCCCCGTCCTCGTACGTAGCGCCGAAGGCAGTCCTACCCGCCAGAGGCGCGGCACATAAACTTGAGCACAGCCGGACTGATGAGGAGTATCTTGTGGTGGAGACGTGAGTTCGGGCGCGCCGGTAAGTGAGCTCTCGAGCCGATGGGGGGGGGGGGGCGCTCATAAAGTTGCCCCTCCTTACGTTTTGCATATCTCCAAAACCTGCATAAGATATGAACTTGTTAGGTACTTAGAAAAGCTTCAAATGAATACTCAAGGTCAAATTTTGGAAAATTGTGTTATGACGCCACAATGACGTCCTACAGTTTTGTTGTTTTCGTATATGGAGCTATTTTGACATCACTTAGCATGAGACGTAGTCACGTAACGGTAAGCAGTAAGCACCTTATTGCCTTAACTCATGTAAAAAAGCAACAACAATAAATCTATAAAACTGCCAGAGATATAGCCATTTGAGAGATGAGAAATATAGCAGCTGCTCTAATTGAGTACCATATTTTCAGCATTTATGCTTATAATTAGTCTAGGGTACCTAACACACATGATACTTATTACTTATCCTTCCCTTCTTGACTAAACAAGAATATTAGCGTCTCTTTTACGTGATGAGAGTCACTTTTATGTAGAAAAATATTTGTCATTGTGAGCCGGTACAATTTGAACTTCCTGTGACGTCATAGGTCAAAGAAAATAGCCAACGAGGCTTCTGTGGCTTCAAATGTAAGAGATACCTTCATAACTACTCGATATTCACAATTCAGCATGCCGTTCCATACGATTCACGCATGTTTTTTTTTTATTAATTGGTCGAGGCTGACCTCTCTTGTGACGTCATAGGTCATCATTCATTTAGGTGACTGTCCTCGTGTCACATCTATGCTATATATCATATCCAGACTCATTTTGGAGGCCTATATTTTTGATGACAGACTGTCCGTCATTGTAATTTGGACAGATTTGACCTTTTCTGACATTCCTGTGATGTCGCAGGTCGAAAATCGAGGTCATCGATATCGTATCTTCTGCATCTCGATGAGCCAATTCGTACACAGTCTGATTTTTTTCCGATCCGACTATTGGTTCCGGAGATAAGACCCCTTTGCCCCCCCCCCCCCCCCCCCAACAGGACCTGGAACCTGCCAGACCTCAACACGGGGTGCCAGCTAACTCTTGGCGGGACTTTCGACAGAACACAGCACATACAACAGAACAATGACCCATAGGGCACCTTTGGCTAATGCTAGGTATGTTTTCTTCAGCACACCACACAAGTGCAATCACAAAAAAAAACAATCACCTTATCTCAATAAGTAATAGTGTTTCCTTTCTACGCCGTCAAGTTCTTTGGATTCAGATCTGTTTCCGCCTACCATCAAAGTTCCCCGTTCGCACAAGGATGACTTCAAAGAGGTTAGATGAGTGGCTAAAACTTTGCAACGAGGCGATATGACTGCAAGAAGGTGAGACGGTCGGCTGCACATGTCTCAGATGTGGTGACCTTCGGAAACAGACAGGTTTGACGAGTTTTGGGATGAACGCTATGTCTGGACGGAGCAGACCACATCACGGTCGGGTCATTTGCTCGAAGAGACCGGTTAGTGGCTGAGAGGTCTTCTGGTAGAAAGGTCAGACGCGTCAGTGCTGTATGGAGGTTAGATGAGTGGCTAAAACTTTGCAACGAGGCGATATGACTGCAAGAAGGTGAGACGGTCGGCTGCACATGTCTCAGATGTGGTGACCTTCGGAAACAGACAGGTTTGACGAGTTTTGGGATGAACGCTATGTCTGGACGGAGCAGACCACATCACGGTCGGGTCATTTGCTCGAAGAGACCGGTTAGTGGCTGAGAGGTCTTCTGGTAGAAAGGTCAGACGCGTCAGTGCTGTATGGTACGTTGTGGCGAGCGGACTGCTTCTCGTAAAATGTGGAAAGGAAGTCTGGTCTAGGGTACGGCTCCGTATCTAAGGTGAGATATATAGATATTGTTCTATTTGATACGACTGTTCTAACCGTAGGTATTGTGTTTTTATCAATATTTTCACGTGCATTAGGTACATTATGCCAGAACTACGGATGTTCACTTTCTGCCCGGAGCACCTAAGGAAGCAGCGACCTTCGTAGGGTAAATTATCCCTCGCCCGTATTGGTGTTTTGCCAGCCGCGAACGTATCGGGGGAGGGTCACTCGACCCCCACCTTGCCGTTCGGCCCCTGATCGAGCTAGAGCATCGCGAAAAAAGCGAGCGTGTTGCCCGTGACGAGAGAAAGCCGATGATATCCAAGTTTTAGGTCCCAGGTCATTGGTTGACCCTCCAGGTCAGGTCAATGACGCAAAAGTCGGGAAAATCGGTACCTGTCAGAACTTCGTTAAGTGATGTGGTAATGTTTTTTCGGGGTGTTTATTACGAATTTCATGTTAGTTTTGATCAGAGATGATGTATTCATGCATTTAACCCGCGCACCGACGCACACTGGGCCGGGGGCCCGGAAAAGTGCTAGAAATTATTTGTGATTGAGTTGTTTATCTCAGCGACAAGCAAACATGCTAAAAACGAAGTGGGGCTGCTTAACCCTCGCCGGACCTGTTGTCGGACCCCCCCCCACCCCCTCGGCCGGCCGAAGGGGGTGGTACGACCCCTTTTCGCCGTTTCGCCCCTAATGGAGCTAGAGCCTCGCGGAAAAAACAAGCGTGTGCGCCGTTTCAAGACGGAACGATTGATACCCGATTTCAAGGTCCCATGTCAACCGGTAACCTCTGAGGTGAGGTCAAAAAGCCTAAGGTAGGGTTTGGTTTTTGGTAAATAATTTCGCATAAAATGGTCGCAGAGCAGCGATTTTGGCACCATCGTGTTTGCCTGGCTCAGGCGCGTCGAATGGTATACTTTTTGTTCGGGTGAGGTCAACTTAAGGTGTTGACCTCAGGTCAAGGTCAGGTCAGCATCCCCAGGTCACGAAGTTGGTCGAAAGAGGTCATGTCGCATATCATTCGATTCGGGAGGTCTTCCCGAGTCCATTGGTGGCTTTCCCGAGTCGCTGGCTCAATTTGATCATGAGTTATTGACAAGAAACTCCTATGACCGTAGTGACGTCATAAATGACGTCACGGAAGGTCAAAAATGCAAAAGTAAAGCATCGGATCTTGCAAGGAGTGCATGAAATCACGATTCCGTGTGCTTGAGATAGTTTGAGATCATTCCATGCGCAAAAACAACAGTTTCCTTATCTCCCCATTTACTTTTAATGGTGATGTCACGTGACCTCGAAGAGTAGCAGGCATTAGCAAAAATTGCGAGTAGGGCATGACAGAAAGATGATTAGTGGTTTGTATGGCACGGTCATTTTTAGCGGCTCGAAATAACATTTCTCAAAAAGTCTAACTTAAGAGCAAGTTGTTGTTGATTATCACTTAATTGTGTTTGGGGGTTAATAATGACTTAATTTTTTAGTTTGGCCCAAAAATTTTGACAGCATTGTGTGCGTTGATCAATTCTGAGCTCAGGGACATATATTTTATTCAGATTATAAGCCTTAGTTTTTCACAACTTCCAGCGTTATAAAGAGCGCCGGGCATTCAGTAGAGCGGCGAGGTGACAATTGCCCCTACATCATGTGGTTTACTGGCGCATATCTCGAAAAGTAGCAGGGAAAAGCAGCAAAGTACCTATATGGAACGAAAGATGAGTAATCAGCGGCTAGTATAAGATGTTTATTTTTAGCTGCTCGAAATAACGTTTTTTTTAAGTCTATTTAAAAATTTAGATATGATTTTTATTTAGGTCTTGCAGCTGCTTGCAAAAAGCTAGCTTATGCTGCAGAAAAGCGATGCAATATGTAAGAATGTTATTGGTACAGTGAACAACAGTGCCCTGAACTAGTCTGACAGAAAATTGCGTTCAAAACGACAATTGGTCAACTAATAAATATCAACTAAAGATTAGCATTAAAATCGGCAAATGTGGTGGCCACTAGCGAGTCTAAATAGTCTTGTGTTTGGTGACAACTGACCACCTCAATTTCGACCTTAGGGCAAAAATGGCATCGGAATCGTATTCTTCGATCAATTTGGGATTAAATGATACCTATTTTGTTCATATTGCGGACAGTCAGTTTGGGGGAATTTCTAGCGCTTTTTCGGGCTGCCGGCCTACAGTGCGACGGGGGGGGGCGGATATCCGCCCCCCTGAGGTTTTTCGCAAATAGCGGGAAAACCGCGGCGCGTAGCGCCGCGAAATTTGGTACGACTATTCCCTCATCAATTTTGCACATGGTGTGCAAGTTTGAACCTCCTAACTTCCAAGGTCAGGTCACCAGGTCATTTTGAATGACCCAACCTCAAGTCACTTTTTTGCAACTTTGTCACCGTGTCAGAGCTACAGTAGATGTCGGAGGCCTTTGAAAGTCGCAGGATGTTATTAGGTCATTAGTAGCTACAATTTGTTAATCTCGGAATTTTGATATCGGTGACCTAAGGTTAGGTCAATTTCGCGACCTCCCCATTATAAGTCAATGGAGGAAAAATCAACTCCCTGTTTTTACCACTAAAACGGGTCGGAATGGCCCCATATACCATACATGACTTCATATACGATCAACCTTCACTACCTTGAGGTCTGTTTTGCTGTTGGGCAGCTGTGAGGTCATGTGACGTCATCAAAGGTCACCAAAGATTTTTGGCCAATAACTCCGTACAGGAACAAGATACAGACGCGTGGATGGTCTCATTGTGTTCAGCTCGTCAAGACGCATCGAATGATATACATGATGACCTCGAGGTCACGTGACCTGAGGTCAACCTTTGACCTTGACCTTTCGAGGTCAACATATATATATCATTCGATGCGGATTGACGAGAGGATCACGATGATGCCCTTAGTTTGTTCCTATCTTGACTAATTCGAAAGTTATTCGAGAAAAACTCTCTCCATATCTAGCGCCGCTATTTTGACTTTTTGGACCCTTGTGACGTCATCTTTGACCTGACCTGAAAATGACCTTTGTAAAAATTGTAGATCTTGACCGTGCGTATCCGATGCCGTTTGCCGCTTGTCGCTATCTTGCTTCGTTCTCGAGATCTCAGGGGGGGGGGCGGTCATCCCCCCCCCCCGTCGGTGCGAAGTTGGCGCAGTTGGTCGGTGCGCGGGTTAAGTCAGGTTGGGTCAGGTCAGGTCAGGTCATCCAGTAGGCATTTTCCCAGGTATTCGTACCTAGTAGGTGTGGATGAGGCGTCCGTCTCCTAACTCTAATCTAAGGTAGTAATTTCGCTATACCGTTTGACCTGCGTTGCTATATTGAATCAGCTGGCGCCATGCCAACTGTAAAAAAAGAACAAATAGGTACTGCCGTAGGCTTCAGAACGATCAACACCACTTTCCTAGCGAGAAATGTTGACGTTCATATTTATGTCCAAAATTTACTTCTTTCTTATTAATTTCTGTTCAATTCTAAATAATTATCTCTCAGTAACTCAACATTCGTAATTCAGCAATTCAGCATCGCTCAGCATTCAACTACAACTAATGAACCACACTCACAAAGACCACCACTTCGCATTTCTACGTAGGCCACAAGATAAATAAAACCGGTTTTGCAGACTGGTCTGGTATATCCTCTTCATCGAAATGCAGGACTCATCGGCCCACCAAGTCGCCGACAAAGTCAACTGCCGTGTTGTTGATTCAAACACGGCCCTCTCAACAAATAAACAAAATCGAATTATTTTGCGTCACCGAGCCCTGCGTTTTACTTCTGTGCTTTATTCCTTGCTTTCCTTAGCGTGCCATCGTGTGGCTCGGTATTTTTTATCAATGTGCTTTTTTAAGCTAATTTGAGGAAGACTGTGTTTCCGGTAGCGCCGCTTACAACTAGAAGTTTGGTAATGTTCGTTTAATCCTAGTTTGGCCTGCAGCCTCTGATAATATTGTGTATTTCTATATTTCAGTGACTGATCAGGACGGATTTGGGAGGTCAGCGCACCTGCATAGACAAGTTTCCGTTCATGCAGAGAGATGTCGCTAAGATGTCGCCACTGTCAGCTCTTGGGAGTGCTGTTGGCCGTGCTGTTCCACCCATCCACCGCCAACTCATCTGAGGTCGCCGACCCCACAGTGATGATCGTCATGCTGATCCGGAACAAGGAGCCGTTCCTGCCGTACACGCTGACACAGCTGGGCGAGCTCGACTACCCCAAGGAGAGGTTGACTCTTTGGCTGCGCAGCGACCACAACGAGGACGCGACACCGCGGATCGTGAACCGGTGGCTGGAGGAATTTAGTCACCTGTATCACGATGTGGACGCAGCAGTAGACACAACTTCACCGAGACTGAGATCGGATGAGACGGGGCCAACACACCACTCTGATAGCCGCTACGCAGCGGTGATTGAAATGAAGGAGGAGGCACTGCTAAAGGCCAGGGAGCTGAAGGTCGACTTCGTGTGGTTCCTTGATGCAGATGTGCTGCTCTATGACAAGGCGATCCTGCGAACCCTAATCAAGATGGAGAAGCCGTTGGTGGCACCCATGCTTGTCTCGACCGAGCGCTTCTCTAACTTCTGGGCAGGGATGGACGACAGTTTCTACTATCGTCGAACGGAACGCTACAGTGATATATACGAGCGCGAAGAGAAGGGCTGCTTTGATGTGCCGATGATCCATTCGTGCGTGCTCGTGGACTTGAGAGAGCACCTAACCAAATCTCTAACTTTTGTGAAAGAAAAGCTGCAATCACCTGTCGGACCAAGCCTAGATGATGTCATAACGTTTGCCATTTCTGCACAACAGACTCTGCTTGCTATGCACGTGTGCAACCAGGAAGAATATGGCCAGGTTCCAGTTCCTCTGGAGGAGTCGGACGATCTAATCCTCGACTGGGTGAATCTCGCCGAGATGAAGGTGAAGGCGCTGACCATTGTGCCACACCTTCCCGTCACCGACGCTTTAGAGCCCTTCCTCCCACCACCTCTAGAGAAGTCAACGCTTGGCTTCGACCATATCTACATCATCAGCCTTGAACGCCGCCAAGCGCGTAGAAAGAGAGCCACCACTCTCTTCAACGAGCTCGGTATTGACGCGGACATAATCAACGCGTTTGACGGACGCAAGCTCAACGAATCGTACATGCTCAGGCACAACATAACGATGCTGTCTGGCTACCGAGACCCTATCCTGAAGCGGCCCCTCACTTACGGAGAGGTGGGCTGCTTCCTGAGCCACCACTCCATCTGGACGGACATCGTGAGGAACGACTATCGACGCGCCATCGTCTTCGAGGATGACGCTCACCCACCTCTGGACTTTGAACGGAAACTGACCGAAGCAGTGGACGAGTTGGATCGGCTTCACCCGGACTGGGATTTGCTGTACCTCTACCGCGAAACCCACTTCCTGAAGGACGGCGAGGACACCTCAGAGCCGGTGCAAGGCTCTGAGCGACTTATGCGTCCCGGCTACAGCTACTCGGGGATGGCGTACGCGCTATCCTGGTCCGGGGCGCTAAAGCTGGTCCGGGAGAAGCCCCTGCAGAAGATGGTGCCGGTCGACGAGCTCCTGCCGATCATGTACGGCCAGCATCCGAACAAACACTGGAACCGTCAGTTTAGCGGCAGCGGCTCGATGAAGGCGTTCGCGATACATCCCCGGATCCTCGAGCCCTACGTGTACCGTCGAGCAGGCGCCATCACCGACACCGACGGATCTGAGGTGGTTAAGCTCTGGGAGAACGAGCTGGAAGAGCAGAGCTGCTCGGCAGATCCGGCTCTGCAAGAGGCGTGCCAGTGATTGGTAGTGATGGGTACTGGCTGACGCAAGGCCCTAAAAAAACATTCTGATCAGTGCTCTTGCTTAGGAGACCCATGTTGTGCTTCCTGCTCGTTGCAAGCATGTGGTCGCAATTGGCATTGGTTTATTTGGTAATGAAGTCCTTTCAGAAGCCTGTTTACGGTTTGTTCATATCTAATGACTCAAGGGCTATGTCATGTATCTGTTCTGTGATATTTCATCGTCTGGCTTTATTGTGACCTCTCCCATGCTGTTGTGAATACAACCTATCGCATTTAAATTCATTAATATATTTGGAGAAACTTATGACACCTTAGCGAGATGATAGGTGCGCTTAGGCATCTGTAAGAGGTGTATAGGGTAAGTATTACCTGTCTGACTCCGTACGAGAGAAAAAGTTCTTGTCTTGGGTCTCTCCTCCCTTTTCTTTCCTTGCTTTCCTACCTTACGCCTGCAGTTGATCATAATACCACATGGGTTGGTGTTACCAAAAGTTATCCAGCTAAGCCGTTACACTACAAAACAATCAGTTTGCGCAAGTATGAGCTGGCTTCTCCACGCTTTAGGGGAGATGACGGACAGTCTATTTCAACACCACACGTGGTGAGATATACATTTACCATCCACAGCTCTCTTGTCATTTTCAGACTCCTGAGAACCACTTCCATTCATAACCCATCCTGGTGACTGTCCACGCACTTTTGAGACACTCTATTACAGGTTTGTCTTCAAATAATACAGGTGCACTTGTATTGAATGCGCTCGTTAGAGGAAGCGCCTTGCGAACCAGTCTCAAAGCGCCGCTGCCATTCAAACGCCACGAGAGGAAGTGGTAATTGAGGCTACCGTGGGAGTCATGGGGCTGACGAGCCACGTGTCAGGCCGAGGGGGCAGGTTATCCCGCAATGTGGACCGAGGGGGCCGAACGGGGACCGACTGGCCAGGTATATAGCCAGCTTTGGAGGATGGGACAGCAGTCGGCACCAAGGTGGTTGAGCTCTCGGAGGCACCAGCAAGTAGCCGTCTCCACTTGGCATCAGCAGGGAGTCGAACAGGTACGCGAAAAGTGAACTTGATATGCTTCATTCGGCCTAAAATGTAGTCATCATGTTAACGTTCATTTCATAAACACCTGTCTTGATGTAGTAACATCAGCTAAGTATGAGGTGAATTCAATACCGAATTTCTCTTCATCTTTCTGTTGATCTGTTTGATGCTCCACACCATACACGGTTGCTCTCAAAGGCTGTGGTCTACCTACGTATCACCAGACCTTATTGATCCATAGCATGGCTATCACGTGAACCGTCCATAACACATCGTTCACTTAGTCCATGATGCAACAACTGCCAACAGACCTCGTAAAAATATCGCCTCTAACCTCCCCGCTCTGTAGGATGTCGTCTCGTCGCGCTGGAGCTCCTCTGCTGGTCATGTCGGCGCTGTGTGTCGCCCTGTGGGCTCTTCTGGTGTGCCCACCCGGGGCCGAAGCGCTGCCCCCGCTAGGACGCCAGGTCGGCCGTCCGTACACGGCGCTCGAGTTCCAGGACCTGGAGTGTGGCGGCAGGTTCGACCGCTCGCTGGTCGCCCAGCTGACCATGGTGTGCCGGGACTGCGAAAAACTCTATCAGCACCCTGAGGTGTTTGGACTCTGCAGGTAAGCACGGACTGCATGTGCGCGCCGCACCAGACACTTTAAACGGGATTTGGAGAGGCTGGCTAAACCACGTCCGAGGCTCCGTTTTTTTCCTATAAATGATGCGCATCTGAAAAATCAAGGTGGTAGTACAGAAAGAAGTAAAGTGCTAAAGTAGTTAGGTAGTGGGTAGTACAGAACAGTAAGCAGTTGTCAAACACCAAAAGATGCTGGGATTAAAATATTCAGCGACCCTTTTTACCTATGAGTCATAAAACCCTCCTCTTCCATCAATGATATCCTACGTACATCCCATCCACATCAAATCTAACTTAACGCCGTCACCCGCAGGCACAAGTGTTTCTCGTCCAAGTACTTCGGAGGATGTCTGGAGTCTCTCCAGATCACCGAACCAGAGGTGGTCGCCGACATGGACGAGGCCGTTCGGATTCTCAAGGGCTAGACTTGGTCGATATTCGTCGTCTACAGAATACTAAGAGCACTCAAATGCATGCCGACATTCCTCAAAAGTGGCAGCTGAAGTAAGATAAATGTGCAGTGTGCATTCAACCCAAACATCCCACCGTATATGTTATGCATCTATGTTTACCTCATTGTCTGTTAATTATCATTGTCTTCACTCTTCACTATCCGCAACGCCAGTGAATCATTTCGAAGATACTTGTGCCCGAATAATGCTGCAGCATTCCTGCATATGACACGTGGTTTATTCTTCCAAAGATTTTCGACTGTGATCATTTCAGAGTTATGCATTGTGATAAGCAATTTCACTGAGGAAGCACATTAGTCTGATGACCCCTTCGCTATGAGCCTGAAAGGAACTGAGTTGAACACTCGTAGACTTTTGCTTCGTCCGCATATGATGCTCGATTCGTCTCCTTTACAAGGCGTTCAAGTTAGGGCGTGATTAGTCATGGTATTTGCGAAATAACATGAACTAAATATATGCGACATTACTCTGCGTTCTACTTCATATAATTGATTGTTTAATGACTGGCGTTAATGATTTTATTTGACTCGCAGCTATGCATTTAAACAAGACTCTTATGACATGTCCATTTGCTGAGTGCATGCCTATAATCCACATTCCACATTACCGTTTGGCTTTTATATACGAAATACATTTACCTATAGCGCTTGAGCCAGTCACAACTTTAACAGAAGACTGAGGAGTCTACTTCTGCACACGGAACAATCCCCCTGTTTTCATGCGTTCTTGCAGTTTCTCAAGTCAATCTACAGTCATTTCGCACCGGAAACCTCCGAAATCTCTTTACCTATCTGAGAAGACGGCAGATAGGTGTGTATATGTGTACACATACACACACCTATACCTACATACATACACTACGAGTACGATCAGTTTTTCAGCCGACGGGGCCTATGAATAGCCTTGATTGAGAGCATTGCATGTCAACAGTCTGACGAGGCTCCAGGCACAGGTATCGTTCTGGGCCATCAGCCATCGTAGTGAGTCGGTTAACCCTCGCACGACCAGGCCATTTCTCATAACACGAACGACCAGGGGGGGGGGGTGTTACGACCCCCCCCCCTGGCGTTTCGAAACGGAAGGTCGTAGAGCTTAGCGGAAAAAACCAACGGATTGCTCCCAACGAGATCTCGCAATTGGTGGTATATTTTTTGGTCCTAGGTCAACATTTGACCTACTTATGACCGGTCAAAGGTCAAATTTTCCGAAAAAAATCAAACTTTTTCAACTTTGCGCAACGATTGCGGCAAAACGGTGAAAGATATTAACTTCAAACCTTCAACAACGTATTCCCCACTCAATTCTGCATCATATATGGTGTTTTTGGTGTATTTACCCTATAAAAGTAAGAGGCCTATTGCTGATGAGTGATATGGTGTCACATCACCCTCCGGTGTTTGTCCCGATTCGTCGGCTGTTGACCACTGCTCCGCTATAAATACTGTAGGTAACGACTCAGGAAAGTGTATTTCCAACTTCCAACAATGTGGATAGCATCAGCAGAAAACCTCGGGACTCGGTACACACTTCGTGAAAATCCGGCCGGAGGCTGTACCTTTTATGACGTCATAACTCCGTGACCTGACCTGACCCGGTCAATTTTCTTGCACCACACGATAGCCAATGCTTGCCCCAACATGCATGGGAAGTTTCATCATGATCCATCAAACAATGTGGGTATCACCGGCAGAAAACCTAGGGATTCGGCGCACACGTTTGGTAACTGTCGGCCGGAGGCTGTACCTCTTATGACGTCATAACTCCGTGACCTGACATGACCCGATCCATTTTTTTTCGGCAAAAGATGCGCAAAAGTTGCCCCAGAGGGTATTGAAAATTTCAGCCCGCTACGACAAGCCGTTTAGCGTGCACTTCGAAAAAACTCAGGAGGGGGGTTGATACAATCCCCCCCCCCCCCTAGGCGTTCTAGGGTTAAGCCACAGGGGACAGTAGGACATGCTACCCACTCGGGCGATACGTGGCCGCCAGCGATCCTGACAATACTACCAAGGCTTCCATCACACAAGGCGAGCACATGGTTTACAATCGAGCCAGTATGTCTCGTAGAATTTGTGTTCAGAAAAATTCGCGCTAATGCACTGAATAAAACGTCACGGAGACGATGGTCCCCATCAAAAGCATCCCTATGAAACCAGTTTTCAGCCCGATCCCCAATTTCGGTCTCACTTGAATCCAGTATTCGGGCTAAAAGTACATGAGCCCTGAAAGGAAGCCTTACTAAACCGTTTTTTAAAATCAGACACATTTGAGGCTTGTTTCGGCACTCAATTGAGTCTTTATTCAAAAACGTTCTCAAAGTGTTTTCTGAGTGAATTTAGAAATTGCTACAGAAAAACGAGAGGAGGGCTGTGAATAGTCCTCCCCCGTGCGATGCGGGTTAAACTGCATCAGATTGACCTTTGTTATAAAAAGATCAACTTGAAAATTGGACCTTTTTGACCTGAAAGTGACGTGAGCTGACCTACGCTAGATTTAGCAGAAGACGACCTGAAATGACACAAATGACACTGCTTTCGAAATTTATGGCCGAAATGGACCATCCAATATGTGTCACGGTAACCATGCACGATATAAAATTTCCGTGACCTAGACTTACTTAGCCTTGACCTGAAACATACAAAGTACAAGGTCGGTACCCTCGGGGCATCTTACGCATATACCTATTCACTAGTGTGTCAACTCTTTCAAAAGTGATCTTGATGTGACTTGTGGTCGCCGTTTAAGGGCCCAAAGTGTGGAGAAGCCAAAATGTTGTTAATTTTAATTTTGAACTGACCTGTGACGTCTTAGTTGACCTTGAGGCCAAAAAATAAGTATTGCTCGACCGTTTTCCAAGGCTATCAAGCACCGCTTGAATTATGATAATCGTTCGTTCCGGTGAATTCGGAGATAGGAGGAGGTCTCTGCAGACCCCCCCCCCCCCCGTTAACCGCGTTATGGAAAATACTCCAGTCATGCTCGGGTTAAGGCAGAGTTCAGAACATCATTTTAAATAATGTGATTTGACACACAAATGTGTACCGACGTGAGCAACTAACATTATACCATTTCCCTTTTGAACTTGTCATGAAGACGCATTCCTCCTCATATCCCAATAACGTGTTTGGCTTCCCAGTGCCCCAATTGTAATAGTGGGTCGGAGTGCCATCCGACCACGTCCAGTGGCTGCCGGCGTACCCTTTCAGCCCGATCCAGATTCCACTCGCACCGCTGTCTCGAGGCAGACCGAGTATATGGCCTATGCTAAATGAATTGTGAATGGAGGCCAGCTTTGCTCTTGGGTCGTAGGACGCGCAAGCCTGGTGCGCCTCCAGCCAGGAGGCTTTGGTTGGTGATATCAGGTAGCATCTGGTTCCTCTGCGGAGCCAGTTGGCAGGACAGGAGCTGGCGGCGGCCCGAGTCACTGGGGGAAGCTGTTGCTGAATCTCCGCCAACTTCTCCTGAAGCTGAAGGTGGGCTGCAGACAGCTGTTGTTGAAGCTGTCGCTGATCCTCTGCCTGGCGTGTCTGAAGGTCAGTGATCTGCTGTTGAACATGCTGCAGCTTCTTCGTGACCTCGTCGGTCACAGCTGATCCCAGCCGCTCCAGACAGGTGTCGGCCAGTCCGGCGACGATGGAGTCCAGTGCTGGCGCCAGGTCGGAGTCGGCAGACCCTAGGGCAGGGTATATCGCAGCGCTCCACACCACCAACAGAAGCAGCCGCGCCATGGAGCAGCACTGTGACCGGGCTCCGACAGGACTGACCGCACTGTGATCGGGCTCCGACAGGACTGACAGCACTGTGATCGGGCTCCGACAGGACTGACCGCACTGTGATCGGGCTCCGACAGGACTGACAGCACTGTGATCGGGCTCCGACAGGACTGACAGCACTGTGATCGGGCTCCGACAGGACTGACCGCACTGTAATCGGGCTCCGACAGGACTGACCGCACTGTGATCGGGCTCCGACAGGACTGACCGCACTGTAATCGGGCTCCGACAGGACTGACCGCACTGTGATCGGGCTCCGACAGGACTGACCGCACTGTGATCGGGCTCCGACAGGACTGACCGCACTGTGATCGGGCTCCGACAGGACTGACCGCACTGTGATCGGGCTCCGACAGGACTGACCGCACTGTGATCGGGCTCCGACAGGACTGACCGCACCGTGATCGGGCTCCGACAGGACTGACCGCACTGTGATCGGGCTCCGACAGGACTGACCGCACTGTGATCGGGCTCCGACAGGACTGACCGGCAGTGAGACAGACCTGGTCGGAGGCCCGAGGCTATTGTTTATGGATCAGCTTGTGTGTACGTTATACATACCTGCAACGTGCCTGTTTGGATTCAGGCTTGCTTGCGGAGGCCCGTTTCGGGCGATCGGAGGCATTCTGGGTCGCTTAGGGGTCGAAATGATCCCATAGCAATCAAGGATCCCATAGCCATCAAGGTTTAATAAAAAACTTGTCTTTATAATAAGGTAGGTATCCGTGAGTGATCCAGAATCTATGCACAAAAAGGCAAGTCCAATGGAGATATGTAGTATAGTCAGCATGAATATAGCTTCATGTTTAGTTACTACGACCTAGGGATACTGGAAGAAATTCCATCGACATAACGCAGTGGTCGCCGGTCGGGTTCGGCGCTATCGTCTCTCACACGGGCACCACCAGATTTTGTTGGTGCTTTTTTTCAAATAAATTCGAGACAATTTTGTTTTTGCACTTAAATAAATTTTGTATCAAGAAACCAAAGCGAGGCTATTTGAGATAACATATACGGTTTTCTATCGCTTTTTTTTTGCGGCGGCCCGACCGAGAAGACATCCTGGATGTTGGACAAAATACTGCAGCAGCTCCTTCAGCATGTGCCGCTGCATCTCGTCAGCACGGACGACTTCCTAGAGAGACTGCGTGTATTCTGGGGTGAGCACAGTGTTCCTGCCGATGCTATTTTCTTTAGCATTGACGTGACTAACTTATATGGCAGCATACCTGTGGACGATGCAGTGGGGGCAGTGCGGGAGGCATTGGAGAGACACCACACAGATATAGACACTGCAGGACTAAGTGTGGATGACGTGTGTGAGCTCCTACAGCACTGCTTGAAAAACAACATTTTCAGATTCGGGGAACAATTCTACCTGCAATTGGAGGGAATCGCAATGGGTAATCCGGTTGCACCAGCTGTCGCCATCCTGTACATGGACCGTTTTGAGAGACTGGCACTGGATGGGGCCGATTTGAGGCCTGATTTCCTTGTCAGGTACATTGACGATTTTGCTGGTGTCTGGCTGCATGGTAAAGATGCCCTACTTGACTTTGTCACCTATCTGAACAGCATTAACCCCAGGATACAGTTCACCTACGAGATGTCTGGGGAAGGGGAGGGCGCCGTCCCGATGCTGGACACCTTGATCACATTGCACCGGGAGGGTGATAGGTGTCGATTCCAGTCGGAGCTATATGTCAAGCCTAACAATGCGGGGATCATTCTCCACTACCGCTCAGCGCATCCCAAGCAGACAAAGCTCTGCACTCTGCGGTCCCAATTGACGCGCGCGATCGCACTGTCCTCTGATGAGGAGTCTAAGCAAAGGAGCCTAGATAAAATCTGTGACCTGTTCTCGAGAAATGGTTACCCTGCGCACGTGCTAAGGAGCACTCGGCGACAAGTGGAAAGAAAAGAGCGGCTGCGTAGGGTCAGTAGAGACGGTAGAGGAGCTCGTGGAGGGCGAGGGAGACATACGACTAGGGATGTCCCCGACGCTGCCCCTGGCGCTGATGGTAGGGAGGGGCAGGGCGCAAGAGCAGGAAGAGGTCACAAGTCTGGCGGGATCCTTCTTTTGCCTTATGTCAATGAAACTGTGCTATGCAAGGTGAAGAAGGCGGCTCGTGCTTCTGGGCTGGATGTTACGGTGGCCTCATACACGCCAGAGACATTGAAACAAAAGCTAGTGCATTCATCGTTTGGCGATCCACCGTGCCCTTCGGGCAACAGGATCTGCAACACTTGCAGGAGGTTGCAGAATGGTAGTTGCACGGACAAAAACGTGGTTTATGAGCTCTCCTGTACGCTATGTGGAGCTAAGTATATCGGCGAGTCGAAACGGCCTCTGCGCCTTAGATATAATGAGCATTTGAGGTGTGCTGCCAACGAGACACAGCTTACCCCGATCGGTGACCATTTTTCAGAGCGTCACGCGGGGATGTCGAAGGCAGATAAGCTGGCTGACCCGCCACTGGAGGTTAGGATTTTGAAGAAAACTAGGGACCATCCGGATAGGAAAATTACTGAATCACTGTACATAAGGGAAAGAAAACCTGGGCTGAACGAAAATCTGTCCTCGTGGCGTGTCATGTGAGAACAAGTTTATCGTATGTATGTGCCCTAAATTGTGCTTGTGTGTGTGTTTATAGGTGTGTTTTATATAGATAGGTACCATACGGCGCGAAGGATACTGATGTGTCATTTTCACGAGCTGAATTTGAAATGTCGATTCTTGTTTTTGTGACGATGTATATGCTGTCTTTTTAAATATACATCTGATGATGGGCTGTGCCCGAATGCACATGTAAATAATTCTTTCATTTTTGACATAATATCAAGGAGAAGGTCGCTTCAAAGTTAATTTATAGTTCTATCGCTTTTGTTTTATTAACCCGCGCCCGTGGTGGTCTCAGCCAACTTCGCCCTAGTGAGGGGGGGCATATGTTACCACCCACCTCTAGCTCCAAAACTAAGAGGGCTAAAAAGACGCGGTAAAAAGCAGTCGATAGCTCTCAATGCGTACGTTTGAAAGTATTTCAGTCATTTTTCACCTTAGAGCAATATTGGGGTCACCAGAGGTCATCAAAGGTCAAAATTTGCCAATTGTCATTATATTTTTCAGAAAACATGCCGCTATCTCAGGAACTATGGTAGCTAGAAAAACGCATGGAACAGCAAACGATAGCTTGTGAACTCTTCTTTTGAAAAGGTGATTATCAATATTGGCCTCAGGTCAATGGTTTAGCCTCCAGAGGGCAAAAACTCCAAAAAATAGCTGTTTTTACGAAAAGTGTTTTTCGACAATAACTTTCGACTACAAAAAGCCACGACATTTCTATTGCCAGAATCGTGTTCCTCTTGCCGAGACGCGTCGAAAGAACTATAATTTGACCTTGGAAGGTCAACTTGAAAATTTGACCTCAGGTCAAGGTCATGACCTGACCGGAAAAGGTCATGTTGCATATCAGTCGATGCGTCTCAACAAGACAAACACAATGAGACCATCCCCAGCGTTCTATCTCGTTCCAATCGCGAGTTATTGGCAAAAAACTGTTTGTAGCCTCAAGTGACCTCGGATGACCTGTCTAACTCTAGAGGCTATCAGCAAAAATGACACCTTGGTCGTCACGAGTGGACTAAATCATTGTGAGTCTGAAATATTTGGACTGTTCCGATGCGTACACACGGATCTAGAGGCATTTTCATTTTTCTCCATTGACTTGTAATGGTAAGGTCACGCCACTGACCTGACCTTAGGTCACGGATATAAAAAATCCGAGATATACAAATTGTAGGCGCCCATAACAGCATGCATTCCAACAAGTTTAAAACCTTTCTGACAAACACTGCAGGCTGGACATGATTGCAAACTTTTTTTAGGTTTGGTCAGTTAACTTGACCTGGTGACCTGACCTGACATGACCTGGGGTCGAAAATTTCACACATTGTCCAAAATTGATGTACCAAAAGCTACCCCAAGCGACGCGGCGCTACGCGCCGCGGTTTTTTATTCACACGCAAAAAACGCGACAGGGTGGTAACATATGCCCCCCCCCCCCACTGGGGCGAAGGTTAATTAATCCATTGTGATATAACCTAATCGTGAAATATATGTATATAAATTATGCGGATATTGCGACCTTAAAAGAAATTTCAGCGAGCGCAATCTCAGCACACCGTTTCAGAGTCGTTTTCTTATTTCCTTCAGCGAGGAACTGTTTTTATCACCGTGGACAATGGACATCATTACAGAGGCTCTGTTGTCATTGTTGATACCACTGCACAGGGATCTCGTTTCATGTTTCACGAATTTAGCTTTTCACAATCAGCAATGTGTGGCCGCACAATACATTCGCTGATAATGGAATGTATTTAATTACGGAGCGAGCGAAGCGAGCGGAGTCTTACGTAGAATAACGGAAATTTCTGAGTATGAGCGGCCGGCCGGCCGGCCGGCCGGCCGTGGTCACGTTTCTGCGACGCTTATATCTCAGCAACCACTTGACCGATTTACATGCGGTAATTTTTTGTAGGATAGCTTCATTCCTTCTACCAAGTATTGGACTATTCCCGATGCATGTGGGTGACCCGTTATGCACGTGCCACGTGCAAAACGAAGAAGTGTCAGTTTTGTAATTGTTGCAATATCTCGGTAACTATACTTGGCCGATTGCGCTGAAAGTTGGCATGTAGGTAGGCACCCACTAGGCCTACCTACATACCTACTTCCTTTGATCCCGATGCATGTGGGTGACCCCTTATGCACGTGTCACGTGCAAAACGAAGAGGTGTCAGTTTTGTAATTGTTGCAATATCTCGGTAACTACTTGGCCGATTGCGCTGAAAGTTGGCATGTAGGTAGGCACCCACTAGGCACTGCATATCCATGTGCCAGAGTTGGGGTGCTGCTGCACGTGCGCACGTGCAGGGGTCGATTCCAGATCTCGAGAACGGCTGGACCGATGGCGCTCAAATTTGGCACATGGTTAGGGACCGGTTAGTAGGGTGCCGTGCAAGTCAGTTGGGACCCATTTTGCACGTGCGCACGTGCAGGGTGCCGCTTCCAGATCTCGAGAACGGCTGGGCCGATTGTGCTCAAATTTGGCACATCGCTAGAGACCGGTTAGTAGGGTGCCGTGCACAAGTTAGCTGGAGGTACCCCCTCGAAATTTTGCACGTGCAAGGCTCACCCTCTCGCTCGCTCCGTTAGTCGCCCCAAAAGGCGTTATACTTGTGAATAAATTCTACAGTCGAGAACAAATTAATTCATCCTCCACTTAAACAGGCACACGCAATATAATTCCAAATAAAACATGCGACGAAGCGTAACCTTGGCAATATCATTGTATTATAATTGCACGTATTTTTACATACATGGATCGGATGATCATCAAATATATAGGTACAGTAACACACAACAAATTAACAAAATTATGCAGGGTGATAAGGCAGGATTCACTGATACACTACTAGATGTGGCAGCTCGATGCTCATGCAGTAAAATAGAGATAAAATTATGTTTTTTTCATTTAGTAGGTATAGCCATTTTTATATAGAAATCTCACACATGCTGTGATATGTTCCAAATACAGCACCTGAAGTGACACTTCTAAAATCAACATCAGTAGCCCAATAACAGGCCCACCACTACCGAGTTTGTCAACCCCTTCCTTTGATCTGAAGACTGATCACATCCGAACATGCCATCTGAGGAGCCGTTGTCTAATGCGGCCAGTAGCATCGATAGGGGTCTGACTTGGGCGGTGTGAGACAGTCGTTCAGCGCCTCACATCCCGATGGGGACCAGTTCTGAAAGAAGAACACAGAGACACAAATTGACTGGCAATCAACGGGAAAACCGTACATTTGCGGAGAGCTAACGGACTGTTACATTGTTAACCCGGCAGTTGCTGGGGTATTTCGCCACCCACCGTTTGCTGGGGGGGGGGGGGGGCGTTAAACGCCCCCAGCCGATAACTCGAGAACCAATAGGCGCAGCGAAACGCACGAGGCGGCAAACGAAAGAACGCGACGAGACGCTTCAGATGAGTACTTTAAAGTTGAATTTTGAGGTCACAGGTCAGGTCAAGGTCAGGTCAAACACCTGAAATCGGGCTTTCAGTAGCATGGACTTCAGGACTTCGCAATGGGCGCCTCTCGTCATAAACTCTGTCAAAACGGTGCACAATCCATCATATAAGGCCTACAAGAGTGTCAGCTCCATGCAGGGGTCAGTAAAGCATAGGTCAGGGTCAAGGTCAGGTCAACCGGGCAGGCACATATCCCCTAAAATAAAAACTGATATTCGCAGCCTGTGACACATGTTTTATGGGTAATTTGGGGCGTAGAACACGATGGTGACATTCATTTTATCATATGTGTACGTGTTTGGCTAAAAAAGTTCAATTTAAGAAATTCATGTATCATGGTCGTGAAGTAGTCACGAGAAATTGCCAAGATCCAGTTCAATATTTTGGAAAATGCGGAACGATAATCAATAATCGAAGACAGCCACTTGATTTTCCATGGTATTGGCAGTCTAATGGCGTTTACGGCATGTCTATATGTCTATTCTGTGATTTTATATGATTTTTTGAACATATGCCGTTTTTGGTCGAAAACTCAGAAATCATGACGTCACTAAAACCTCGATATCTCAAAAATTTTCCGACCGATTTTTTTGAAACTTTGTCACAATAAACTTCAATCAATTCCCTACAGGTACCCAAAATTTGGCGCGCCTGCGGCGCGCCGTTTTTATGCTATGGCCCCGCGAAAAAAGTGGGGGCGTTTAACGCCCCCCCCCCAGCAACTCGCGGGTTAAGAAACGGGTTACAGATAGTACATATAAAGCTGAAAAAGTAATCTAATTGGTTGGTTCTGCACTATTAATATTATAAACATTTTCGATTCTCGTTATTCCAGATAAACGTTTTTGTTTTATTGTTTTTATTTAAATAAATTCTTCAAGCCCTCATCAATCTCTCTTTCTGTTTCTCTTTCTTTCCCTTTCTTTACCTCATCTCACCCCCACTTAATTCTCACCATGACGGCTTGGTCGCACCAGTCGAGAGCCGGCCGGCCCTTCACCATGTCGGTCACGTGATCGGTGATGACCTTGTACATTTTGTTGACCTCGGTCTGGTACTCGTCTGTGTAGGTGGGAAGCTGGTACATCTCGCCCGGGTCGCGGCTCAGGTCGATTACCACCGGAGTGTCGGTTCGGTTTATTTGTTCGGGCGTCGTCAGATTGGCAATGCTCATGCCCGGGCAATGGTCGGTACCCTGACGGCGAGAACGAAAAGTTTTAGTTCAGAGGAAGGAAGACAGGAGAAGTGGCAGTATAAAGCGCTATCAACATCACAGAACACGAGAGCAGTCGATTGAATAATGCCAACAGTTCGGGACGAGATGTGATACATTTAGCTTCAGAACTCGTGAATTGTGAAATATATTTTCAACACCGAGCTCCAAACGCCAGGCTCTAAAGATTCCAGAGCTTTGAGCGACTAGCTCACGCGGCGCACAAGTTCTGTCTCGAACTACAATGTGTAAATACCTCAAGTAGAGAATGAGGTCTACGACGGTCGATCGGTGGCGGCAATAGCGAACATTGGGCCATTTTTCACCTTATAAGACAAGACTTCCATGTTACGTCAAAACCATCCATGTATCATAAATCGTCGTGATCAATAGTCACTATCTACAGGGTGACACAAAAAAAAACGGTCATCACCAAATTTCGAATAACTTCGGAAGTTTTATTCAGATCATCACCAAACTTCGGCCACTTAACCTTCGCCCCAGTGGGGGGGGGGGGGCATATGTTACCACCCTGTCGCGTTTTTTGCGTGTGAATAAAAAACCGCGGCGCGTAGCGCCGCGCCGCTTGGGGTAGCTTTTGGTACATCAATTTTGGACAATGTGTGAATTTTTTTACCCCAGGTCATGTCAGGTCAGGTCACCAGGTCAAGTTAACTGACCAAGCCTAAAAAAAAGTTTGCAATCATGTCCAGCCTGCAGTGTTTGTCAGAAAGGTTTTAAACTTGGTGGATTGCATGCTGTTATGGGCGCCTACAATTTGTATATCTCGGATTTTTTATATCTGTGACCTAAGGTCAGGTCAGTGGCGTGACCTTTCCATTACAAGTCAATGGAGAAAAATGAAAATGCCTCTAGATCCGTGTGTACGCATCGGAACAGTCCAAATATTTCAGAATCACAATGATTTAGTCCACTCGTGATGACCAAGGTGTCATTTTTGCTGATAGCCTCTAGACAGGTCATCCGAGGTCACTTGAGGCTACAAACAGTTTTTTGCCAATAACTCGCGATTGGAAAGAGCTAGAACGCTGGGGATGGTCTCATTGTGTTTGTCTTGTTGAGACGCATCGACTGATATGCAACATGACCTTTTCCGGTAAGATCATGACCTTGACCTGAGGTCACATTTTCAAGTTGACCTTTCAAGGTCAAATTATAGTTCATTCGACGCGTCTCGGCGAGGGGAACACGATTCTGGCCATAGAAATGTCGTGGCTTTTTGTAGTCTAAAGTTATTGTCGAAAAACACTTTTCGTAAAAACACCTATTTTTTGAGTTTTTGCCCTCTGGAGGCTAAACCGTTGACCTGAGGTCAATATTGATAATGACCTTTTCAAAAGAAGAGTTCAAAAGCTATCGTTTTCTCTTCCATGCGTTTTTCTAGCTACCATAGTTCCTGAGATAGCGGCATGTTTTCTGAAAAATATTATGACAATTGGCAAATTTTGACCTTTGATGACCTCTGGTGACCCCAATATTGCTCTAAGGTGAAAAATGACCGAAATACTTTCAAACGTACGCATTGAGAGCTATCGACTGCTTTTTACCGCGTCTTTCTAGCCCTCTTAGTTTTTGAGTTAGAGGTGGGTGGTAACATAGGCCCCCCCTCACTAGGGCGAAGTTGGCTGAGACCGCCACTGGGGCGCGGGTTAAGGTCACACCTATGTAGCATACATCCACCAAGTTTCAAGTCTTCACTACGAATATTTTTTAGTACAGTGTGTGTTTTACTGACGCTCCATAATGTGCTCCAGGTGAGCGCCACGGCGCTGCAGGGCGTGGGCACACTTGCATCCGGCGGGCAAAGTTGTCGATAACCCGATGGCTGTGCACTTTACAGAGTGCAATGGCCTCTGGAGACAGTGCTCAGGGGGTGTGCTACCCCTGAAACGTTGTTCTTATCGGGTTATCGGCAACTTTGCCCGCCGGATGCAGGTGTGCCTACGCCCTGCAGCGCCGGGGCGCTGACCTGGAGCACATTGTGGAGCGTCCGTAAAACACACACTGTACTAAAAGTATTCGTAGTGAAGACTTGAAACTTGGTGGATGACTGCTACATAGGTGTGACCTAAAGTGGCCGAAGTTTGATGATGATCTGAATAAAACTTCCGAAGTTATTCGAATTTTGGTGATGACCGCTTTTTTGTGTCACCCTGTATTCAACACATCCTGATACCCTGCTACCCCTGTATCGATCCCGCTCTGGCCTTACATTTCCCAGCTCCTCAGGAGGCGTGGTGAACGTCCAGATGTGTGACTTGTAGTGTCCCACGCGAGCCGCCATCAGCAGGTCACCGCGGTAAAAGAACACGTTCCTGTAGCGAACGGACAAAGCGGCGTGACAATTTTAGCCAAGAGCTCAGAAGAAGTGCTTAGCGCGAAATGCAACACTTAGCAAACATGACTTTATAACAGCGAGGACAGACCGGAATGTGATGGAACACCGAACAGCCTGTAATAGAACACCTCACGTTTTTTACGAAGGACTCAATTCAGTATGTAATGGAACGTCTTAAGGACTGTAATGGAGTACGTAACAATCTATAATAGAACATAAAACGGCCTGTAGAGGAACGCCTACCGTTCTGTAATGGAATACGTAGGGTCTGTAATGGACCACGTAACGGTCTGTAATGGAACAGGTAACGGAACATATAAAGGCTTTAATGAAACGGTCTGCGATGCCGAACACCAAAAACCTTACAGTTTGTAGGTAATTGACTGAAATAAATAACGGCTTGTGATGGTGTAGAGCACGACGGTCCGTTACGTAACAACTGTACAGTGCACGGTCTGTAACGGTTTTAATTAACATAACGATATATGTTGTTTTAACCCTCGCCGGACCTATTGGTTTTCTACATACGCGCCGGCCGAGGGGGGGGGGGGGGCGGGTACGACCCCCCCCTCGCCGTTTCGCCCCTGGTGGAGCTAGCGCGTCGCGGAAAAAACGAGCGTGTGCGCCGTTACGAGACGCAGAGATTGGTACCCGATTTTAAGGTCCTAGGTCAACCGGTGACCTCTGAGGTCAGGTCAAGTGCCCCAAGGTACGGTTCAGTTTTTGGTGAATAACTTCGCAAAAAACGGCCGCAGAGCGCCGATTTTGGCAGCATCGTGTTCGTCTTGCTCAGGCGCGTCGAATGGTATACTTTTTGTCCGGGTCAGGTCAACTTGGGGTGTTAACCTCAGGTCAAGGTCAGGTCAGCACCCCCAGGTCACAAAGTTGGTCGAAAGGGGTCATGTCGCATGTCATTCGATTTGGCAGGTCTTCCTGAGTCCATTGGTGGCTTTCTCGTCTCGCTAGCTCAATTTGATCAAGAGTTATTGACGAAAAACTAATATGACCTTGATGACGTCATAAATGACGTCACGCAAGGTCAACATTGCAAAAGTGACGCATCTAACCTTGCAAGGAGTGCATAAAATCACGATTCTGTGTGCTTGAGATAGTTGGAGATCGTTCCCGGCGCCAGAATAGCAGTTTTCATTTTTCCCCATTGACTTATAATGGTGAGGTCACGAAAATGACCTGACCTCATATGACCTTTAGGAAAAATCCGAGATATACAAGTTGTGGGACTCATAATGGATACTAGATCCTGCAAGTTTCATTTCCCTGTGACATCTCCTCTGGCAGTGAGGGCGTTGCGAAGTTGCGACATCTGAAGACCGTGCAGAGGTTCACTTATGACGTCATAGGTCAGTGACCTGACCTGACCCAAAAATGCGGTTGGTGTCAAAAGATGCGGCTTGGATCAAAGGTCAGGTATGCCAAGTTTCAGCTCTCTATCTCCAGCGTGTTCGGAGCTATCGCGAAAAAACCCTATGGGGGGGCGGCACCCGCCCCCCCCCCCCTCGGCCGGCGAGGGTTAAAGTCATTTTTTCCCAGGAAATTAGTTATGTATGGTCACTTTTCGGATTATTCTCTGGGATAATAATATCTAACTCACCAGCAATGCCTATATACCAGCCTCATCCAACCACGCACAATCCATCAAGCGCGGAATAATAAAAAACATGTACGATCGAGCCCGAAATGTCTGCAGCAATGCATCAGCTCGCCACAAAGAAGAAAAGACACTGCAGGATATATTCGCCTTGAACGGCTACCGAGGTGACTTCATTCGAAGATGTTCGGCTGATCAGCCAGCGCCGCCGGAGTCGGACCAGCCGTCTGGGACCGGTCAGCCAGCGCCGCCGGGGTCGGACCAGCCGTCCGGGACCGGTCAGCCAGCGCCGCCGGGGTCGGACCAGCCGTCCAGGACCGGTCAGCCAGCGCCGCCGGGGTCGGACCAGCCGTCCGGGACCGGTCAGCCAGCGCCGCCGGGGTCGGACCAGCCGTCCAGAACCGGTCAGCCAGCGCCGCCGGGGTCGGACCAGCCGTCCAGGACCGGTCAGCCAGCGCCGCCGGGGCCGGACCAGCCATCCGGGAACGGTCAGCCAGCGCCGCCGGGATCGAACCAGCCGCCCGGGACCAGTCAGCCAGCGCCGCCGGGGTCGGACCAGCCGTCCGGTCCGATCAGCCGTCCGCGACCAGCGAACCGCCCTCGTTATGTCTCCATGCCTTATGTGAAAGGAGTAAGCGAGCCCATCTCCCGCTTTCTACGCGCTCACAATGTAATTGTAGGGCATTCGTCAAAAACTCTAAAAAAGTCACTAGTTAACGTGAAAGATAGGATTCCCAAGGCCAAGCAAAAGGGTACGATATATGAAATGCAATGTGAATGTGGCGAAATTTACATTGGAGAAACAGGGCGCCCAAAAGATGTCAGGCTCAACGAGCATGCTAAAGACATCGAGCACGGGCGGGTACAAAAGTCGGCACCCGCTCGGCACACTAGGCAGTGCGGTAGAAACATGCACCCCATGGAAGGCAAAACTTTGGCATGTGAGAGTAACTGGAAAAAGAGAATCGTGCGCGAAGCAATAGAAATAAAAGAAAAAGATCCATACATGAACCGAGATGTAGGAAAATTTGGCCTTAGTCCAATATGGGATTTCACCCTTAGAAATAGGTCGACATGAGCATAAGATGTCATCCATAGGAACTAAACATACACCCGGTTGTGCAAATTGATCTATTGTGTCCGATGTATCTCTGTAGACACAAGATAGGTAGTAGGTATCCATAGGTATATGTAGAACTTAGAAGATTGGTTCATGGTTGCACTACTTGTTATGTAGAGGAACATGCAAGCTAAAAGACCGTGTCAGTTTTTTGGCAAGTGATATATTTTTGAAAAATGTAACCCGTCTAGGGAATAATTTTGGTGTGTGGTTTTTCATACATGTAATTGTTTTTATTTTGTCCAGTGACCAAGGGTGAGCAATATCATCCGAAATATATGGACTTGTGAGTTAGATATTATTATCCCAGAGAATAATCCGAAAAGTGACCATATATAACGATATATAATGGAGCACCCAGCATTCTGTCTATAATGCAAATTTTTGGAGAACTCAGGTTTGTTTTGCAATAAAAAAAACACAATTCTAACGCATGGTGTTCTACCTATTGAACACAAACCTTCCCTTATGGAGCACCTAGCCGCCTATGATGGAGCACCTAGCCGTCTATATGATGGAGCACCCGTCACCCACCGATCTGTGATGGAGCCGTCCCTCAGGTTCTCGGTCAGATCGATCCCGTCCACCACGCGATCATCGGGGATAGGCTGACCGGCCAGCTGAGTGAACGTGGTAAACAGGTCCATCTGGGTGCCCACCTGTGCAACAAGTCACGTGACAGAAACAAGTGACGTCAACAACTGACCGAAATGATCAGGTTACACTGCACCGGCACGTGACATCTACCAGCACTCAAGCAGTTATAGTGTAATCGGTAACAAGTTTAAGTCAGGAAGGCTTCGTAGTGATTTTTTAGCATACATATTAAAATCATGACCCTAATCTTACCGAAAAGAGCCAGCATTGATATTCTCTTAGACAGTGCATGCAACTGTAAGAAAATGCAAAACGATGTGCGCACCATTTCATCCATCGTATTTTGTCAGTAAAAAAAAAAAAAAACTAGGATAATGATTGCACATTTCTAACAGAAATCACTGAACACTGAACACTTAACCATTACCTATCATGATGCAATGGCTGGTTCCTTGTTGGCTGGTGCCAACTGACTTAAGAAGCAATTTACGCCACTTTGAGACAGAGCATTGACCGATAGTGAGCAAAGAAACGTCCGAAATATACTGTATGCTTGTTTTGAATGCTATCATCTTCGTTCAGCGTCTTATCAGGCTAATCTTTACTGTCAAGTGCGCGTCAAGATGTCAACAAGATGATACCACGGAAATATAACACTTAAGATCACTGAGTACAGGGTTTCAGAGCGGTTTTTGTGACTCTGTGCAGCTGCATCGGAGTGGAAACCGACTCTCGAGTCCGGTTTTTCGGCTGGAGCCGCGTGCCGATTTACGACCTTGCACTTTATACACCTCATTTCGGTGTGTTTCGAAGTCCGATTACAGACCGAAAGTAGGCAGATAATTGACTAGTTAGGTCTCACTGGACTTCATCTGTGAGCTGTCACCTGTCACTTGAAGATGTCACCTCACTTGACCTCACCAATGACCTGACGACTGCCTACTGACCTGACCTGCGAGGGTGTGAGGACTCTACACTGACGATTTCTCACTGACCTGACCCTTACTCTGACCCTGCAAGCCACTGACCTGATGGCTGACGGTTCCCGGCGCTACCTGGCCCGGCCACCAGGCGATCGTAGGCACGCGGAAGCCACCCTCGAAGGTCGTCTGTTTTCCGCACAGGAGACGGCCGTTGCTGCCGCCTATAGCGGAGATGTGAGACAAATTTGTAATGTTTCTACGTCGATATTGCAGGTAATAAAAACTGATCTAGATTCGGAGCTGCAATCTTATTATTATACTCAAGAGCATGTACTAAGCAGATTAAGTGCACATACTGGATGCCTGGGGCCCCAAACATTGCATTCCCGTACCTGACAAGTTAGTTTTGTTTTACCCCAATCGGATCCCTTGTGCCACATCCACGTTGACGTTATATTATTATTTTGGTCTCTCTCTCTCTCTCTCTCTCTCTCTCTCTCTCTCTCTCTCTCTCTCTCTCTCTCTCTCTCTCTCTCTCTCTCTCTCTCTCTCTCTCTCTCTCTCTCTCTCTCTCTCTCTCTTTCTCTTTCTCTTTCTCTTTCTCTTTCTCTTTCTCTCTTTCTCACTCACTCTCTCTCACTCTCTCTCTCTCTCTCTCTCTCTCTCTCTCTCTCTCTCTCTCTCTCTCTCTCTCTCTCTCTCTCTCTCTCTCTCTCTCTCTCTCTCTCCTTCCCTCCCTCCTCTCTATCTGTATCACTTTTCTCCCTCTATCTTTCCCTTATCTTTCCGTTTTCTGATTCCTCTCCCCTCTCTATTCATGATACCCACCGTGACCCTTGTCCACGAGGGCTGCGCCGTTGTCGGACGAGAAGAACACGAGCGTATTGGTCATGTTGTTGTCTCGCAGCGCGTTCAGGATCCGTCCAACACTGTGATCTAGCTCCATCATGGCATCGCCGTAGAGACCTGGGGCGCATGGTTTTGGATTGATTGGATGGAACTGGAA